CATGATTGTTTGACATTGACAGAGAAATACATTTTAAAAATTAGAGTTGCTGTTTGTTCAATTAAGTTATTTACAAGTTTGAATCAAAACAATTCTTCAAGTTTTCTTCAATTCTTCAATTTGTAAAAACAAATAAGCTAACTTAATTACTTCATGTAGTCCCAACTCAACTCGATTGTGTGGAACCAAGCATTTTTTAAAAAGTCTATGCTTTATTTTTTGTGTAAACAAAGTGACCTGAATCTCTTACATGATGATGGTTTAGGATGATGATTTTATTTGTTTTATGTGAATTATGTGGGCGAAGCAGTGGCTCAGTAGGTAGTGCTGTCGCCTCACAGCAATAAGGTCATTAGGTCGCTGGTTCGTTTGAGCCTCTGCTCAGTTGGAGTTTCTGTGTGGAGTTTGCATGTTCTCCCTGTGTTCGTGTGGGTTTTCCTCTGGGTGCTCTGGTTTCCCCCACAGTCCTAAGACATGCGGTTAAGGTGAATTGTGTAAGCTAAATTGTCCGTAGTGTATAAGTGTGTGTGGGAATTGACAGGCCCATACGACAGGCCGGCCTGAAGGTGTAAAAAAGTCGTTATCATATGGAACTTGTTCCAAAAAGAGCTGACCCCGCAATCATATGGGGCTAAGGCTATTTATTTTATTTTTGTGTGTGTGTGTGTTTGTGCAGAAAGATAATCTGAACATTTTCTTTTCATGTGCAAGAAAAAAAAAACATTAAGATAATTTTAATAATAAAATAAGCACATAATTTTTAGTATTTAAGCTGTCAAACAAACTAAAACTTAAAATACAGCAAACAAAACACACAATCATTGTTTTTTGTTGTTTGGACAGGATGCCAGAGATGATGTTGGTGGGGCTCAGAATGCAGGGATGCTGGGAATTTTAGTAAAGACTGGTAGGCTTCATTTTTAATATGCAAGTCTTTTTTCTTTCTTTTCCCCCTGGATATTAGTAACTTTCTTTTAATTTTGCAGGTAAATACAGACCTGCTGATGAGGGTAAAATTAACCCACCACCTCACCTGACATGTGCCAGCTTTCCAGAGGCAGTCAATTATATACTTGATCATCTCTTAGGATCTAAATAAGTTAGGTTTAAAACAATACAAAGGCAAAACAAAGTAATGGTACCCTTATGTAGCATGTACATTATATTGGTTATCTGAGAAAAATATTATAGATTAATAAAGTTGATGTATTCCTTTAAAATTTAAAGAGCAAGACGTGTGTTTTTTTATTTTTTATTTCAGCATATAATCAAAATTGTATTGACCTTTTAAAAATGTATTAATCAATGAAAGCAATTTTTTTTTGTTATTTACTTTAATATATATTGTCAGTTAATTGATTGCAGTTTAAAGAAAAACAAAACAAGAAAAAATAGTACAAAAGTAGGCAGTAAATGGTGGATGTGCAATAAAAAGCATTAGTTTGGTGCAGGGGCGTTGCTAGGGTCGAAAGGGATAAGGGGCTTAGCCCCAAAGACACCCCAATCCACCCCCATTAAAAAAGCTAAAATACCACCACTTTCATAAGGTAATCTACTTTTATAATAGATTTATAAATGGTTTAATAATAAAAAGGGTTTTTGAGTTGACAGTTTTTTAAAAATAAATTTTGAAGCTTTGTGACTTGTAACACCAAAAAGGAAAAAAAAAAAACATTGATAAATTATCACACTTCTCATTTACTAGTCTGTTGTGAGCCATATCATACCTCTTGAGCCTCCTATCTCCTCTCCTGATTTGCAGTTTCTGTTTGTTTTTTGAAAATGTAATTTTCTGCATGTCTTCAAATCTGAAAATAATATAAATTTTATAGTGTGAGTTAGTATCCAATTTGATACAAAGCTACAAACATGTTCAGTTGGACAGAGTGATTAACTGAGGTGTAGTGTTGTCAAAATACTGAAATTTCTAAAGTCAATACCTTGCAAAATATTGATATTCAATAGGCTACTATTTTTGACATAATAACAATTTTATCAAAAATAGTACAAAAAATAAAAATAAAGATTTATATGCTAGAAATGCGTTTACTTCAAATTTCTTTAGAGGGAGATTTTTTTTCAGTTTTCCTCAAAATAATGTGATGTGGGCATTGTAGCACTTTAAAAGCGTGTAATGCCTGTTTCATTCATTCATTGAGCAGAAATTCCATATATGCCTCACAAAAGTAGTAGAACATTCCAGGAAATCCTTAATATGGATGAAGGCATCCAGCTATTGCTGTAGTTGAATGAAAATAAGATCTGAATAAACATAAAAAGGCTTTAACTGATCATTTACACGACTGCGATAATAAATGTTTATACAGTTAAAGTCAGAATTATTATTCCCCTTTGAATTTTATTTTCTTATTTAAATATTTCCCAAATGAAGTTTAACAGAACAAGGAAATTTCCACTGTATGTCTGACAATATTTTTTTCTTTTGAATAAATTCTTATTTGTTTTATTTCAGCTAGAATAAAAGCTATATTACATTTTTTAAAAACCCTTTTAGGGTCAAAATTATTAGCCCTTTTAAGCAAATTTTTTTTCTGATAGTCTACAGAACAAACCATCGTTATACAACAACTCGCCTAATTACCCTAACCTTCCTTTAAAGGTCACTTTAAGCTGTATAGAAGTGTCTTGAAAAATGTCTAGTCAAATATTATTTACTGTCATCATGGCAAAGATAAAATAAATCAGTAATTAGAGATGAGCTATTAAAACTATTATGTTTAAAAAAAAGGTGTTGAGAAAATCTCTCCGTTAAACAGAAATTAGGGAAAAAAATAAACAGGGGGGCTAATAATTCAACTGTCTTCTTCCAGCCATCTCAGGTATTTTTATAAGAAAGTCGATTTATAATCCCCTGCTAACTGACATGGCATGTTACAGTAGAATGCTATACAATATGCTAGATCACAGGTGTCAAACTCAGTTCCAAAAGGGCTGCAGCTCTGTACAGTTTAGTTCCAACCCTAATTAAACACACCTGATCAAACTAATTGAGTCCTTCAGGCTTGTTTGAAACCTACAGGTAAGTGTGTTGGAGCAGGGTTGGAACTAAACTGTGCAGGGCTTCGGCCCTCCAGGGATTGAGTTTGACACCCCTGTGCTAGATGCATGAACCACCGCGGTGACTGAAGCTCTGCACAAGACTTTTGGCCAGCGGAGAAATTAAAATGGTCGTGCCGAACTGAGTCTGGTTCTCTCAAGTTTTTTTTTTCTACACTCCCATCAGGTGAAGTTTTTTTTCCCTCTCCGCTGTCGCCACTGGCTCGCATTGTTCAGGATTGGTAGAGCTACGCATCGATGAATTTGCTCTTCAGTGTTTGAACTCTCAGTAATGATTAAATCACACTGAACTGAGCTAAACTGAACTAAACTGAACTTAAACACTAAAAAAATGAACTACACTGTTCCAGTTACTATGACCATTTATGTGAAGCTGCTTTGACACAATCTACATTGTAAAAGCGCTATACAAATAAAGCTGAATTGAATTGAATGAACTCACTGTGATTTAACTATTACAGAAACAGATGTGACTGGCTATATCATATCTAGATAAATATGCCTAGATATCTATATCATATTTAGAAAGCAAGAACAATTTAAGTTTTTCTGACTAATTCGCATGTATGCATTGAAATGATGCACATTTTATGGATTACAGTTATTTTATTTCACCAAAACTACACACATTTTATACTGTGGAAACAACTGTTAAGCTTCATCAGAAGTTAGAACTATTCAGTTTCGTGAAAGAGTTGTATTATTACCTTATTAGCTCAGCTCTTCATAATAATGAATAAATGAAGTGCAGTGGCGGAATTTTTTTTAAACATCCTGTGACAACAGTGCCACTCCCACCTGCCGGTAGATACAGGTACTGCTGAACTGCTGACCCGACACAAACACTGCGTTAAGTGGAATGTGCGTGATGTACAGTACGCGGTAATTTTCAGTACTTATATAACAAAATGAATGTTATACACCATATTTTTATTTATGCTTTTTTTATTTATGCTTTTGACACTACATCATGGGCTTAAGCCCCCAAAGCCCCTCCCTCGCAACGCCACTGGTTTCGTGCCTAGCTGATGTTTCAGACAGACTCATACTCTTTCTCCCAGGCTGTGTATCTATCCATCAGACATCTGGCTGATGGTTTGGTGTGAACAATCACGTCCAGGAAATCTGCTGTGGTCACAGTTTCTAGTTCAATAACCGGCATATTGGACTGACCTGTGAAGATGCATGGCGTAATGGAGACTGTGAATTGTGGGCGAAACAGGATTTCGTGATGAAACAGCAGTTTAATGTTGTTCAGAATGGGATGGCGGGATATTTCTTACCTTCAATGTGGTTTTCAAGGGCGTCAAATATTTTGCGCACAGGTCTCATAGCTGCCTCCTTACAGACCAACCTGATATCTGACCCAGAGTAACCTCCCGTCTCCTGAAATACAGAAGATCTAAAATTGTCAGTATATTTGCCTGTCTGTCTATCTGAATGTCTGTAAGTTATTGAGTGTTTTTCTATCTGTTCAACTGTCTGTCTCTACCTCTCAATTTTTAATTCAGGTGTTTCAATTGGACCCATTGCCACAGGTATATACAGTAAAGAAATTAGCTATTTAGGCTACATCCACACAAAACCCCTATCAAAATTAGTTTTTTTTTTTTTTTTTTTTTTGCATAGTCTTAAAAATATCTGCATACACATGAAACCACTGAACCTAACAAAAATGATGTAATATACATTAGTGTTTCTCAACCACGTTCCACCAACACTGCTGAATATGTTTTGGATGTCTCCAGGCCCGAATTGGCTAATCGGGAGGACTGAGAGAATTCCCGGTGGGCCGGTCCGTTTTTTGGCCGCGAGGGCCGGTGTCCCTAGCTCCAGAATCTGTTGCTCTCAGCAGTCACACTTTTTAAATTTATTTATTTACTTGACCACAGCCTTTTTATTGATTATTTTACCGTAATCATCATTCATAAAACAGTTGTTGTGGTCGAGCGGTTAGCACGTTAGGTTAAGGGTGCTTTCACACCTACACTTTTGTTTCGAAACGTGTCTCGTTTGCCCAGTTAGCGCGGTTCATTTGGCATATGTGAACAGGGCAATCGTGCTCTGTTCCGCGCCAAAGTAATCGCTCCGAGATCGCTTGAACGAGGTGGTCTCGGCTCGATTAAAACGAACCCTGGGGCAGTTCGATTACAGTGAGAAAGCGATCTGATCCGAGCGCAGTTATATCACAGTGTTTTATGGATATGTAATAGGCTTACGGCTATATGAAGAGAGAATTATGATTATGGCGGGAAGTTTTGCGAGTCTCCGGATGCCCGCAAACGAGTGATGATCTCCCGGTAATCTCGCGTCTCCCTCCCGGTCCTCAAATAGGCATCGTCGCACACCCTTCTCACCCCTCCCCACCGCATCTCTCCTCAGACACATCGCGCGCGCACCCTGTCAATCACCATCAAACCACCACCTCTCCTGACAGCTTAGCGGGACGCTGCAAAATAAACCCTGACACTCTGACCAATGTAAGGAGAGTTTACTCGCACGTGACTTGTTTTAGCTCTTTTGGTCTGATTAGAAACTTTGCAGTGTGAAAGCGAACCGCTCCAAGAGCAAAGAGCAACAATGTAACATTTGTAATCTCTGTTTCGGAACAACTGAATCGATTCACAGGTGTGAAAGCACCCTAAGACGCCGCGGACCTGGGTTCGATCCTCGTTAGAGTAATTTAGTGTTTTATGTTGATAAGACATATAATACTGTTAGGGTTGTTGAACATTTGATGTTCTAAAGCAGCTGTTTTCTCAAAAAAAAAAAAAAAAAGACGTGATAGTGTCATTAGTAACTGATTTGGAGATATTTATTTATTTACTTATTTTAATATAGTCAGTCGTGAACTGAGGTGGGCCGGTCTGAGGCTTGAAACTCCAGGGCTGAAAAGGTGTCCCACTCCGGCCCTGGATGTCTCCTTTGTCTGTCACACCTATTTCAGAGGCTGCGTCCGAAACTGCATACTTCTATACTATATAGTACGCTAAAATCAGTATGCGAGCCGAGTAGTATGTCCAAATTCATAGAATTCGAAAATCAGTGGTCGAGAAGTACCCGGATGACTTACTACTTCCGGCGAGATTCTGAAGTGCGCATCCCATGCACGCTGCGCTATCCCATAATGCCCTGTGAGAGAATTCATGAATGGAAGTGAGGCGATGCAACTGACGCAGGTAGGTTACGTGACCATGACAAAATGGCAGATATAGTACGTCCATTCATACGTATTTCCATTCATACTTTTCACATTCAAACCGTATAGAACATACTTTTCTAACAGTCGAGTAGTACGTTTACATTCAAATGCAGTACCTACTGAGTAGAAGGCAGTTTTGGACGCAGTCAGGGTTTTCAGTCTCTGCTACTGAACATGATCTAAATCAGGTGTGTTTGGTTAAAAGTGCATGATGTAAGTTTGACATCCAGTGGTTGAACTAGGTATTGCAATCCTGGATCAAAACAAACGCAAGTGCAAGTTGTCAGGTTGAGGACAAGAGCGAGTGATTTAAACCGTGTTATAAATAAAAGCAACGGCACGTGAAAAAAGGAAAATGTTCCATGTTGAAAGGAGTTTTTGTCCTAACCAACACATGGAATTGATATATTAGAAACGGCTTTATTTCTTGCAGCTGAACAACAGAAAACTATTAGAATGATCACCTCAGGTAACCCTCATGTGCTTTATTCAGTGTTAAAGGCTAACAAAGTGAATTTGAATGTCATTTTACATGACATTTATTGCCATACTAATGAAAGCAGTAGCAGATAGTTCACCTCAGATCACCTCAGTTTCATATGGTGTAAAACAGCCAAATGGCTCATCACTGCGTATTTTGTCACGAGGCGTGTTGTTAGGACATGGGGTTAACCTGCTCACCTAATGTTTATGTTTATTTTATTTATATCCTTTGCTAATTAATAACCTCATGTGAAACTGAATCTGCGTCTCATTTTGGAGTCTGCTCATGTCCACGTATGCATGTTTTCAGAGCCTTTCTGAATGAATGAATGAATGAATGAATGAAATACAGTTTTCCACCGAGACAACCCGGGGTGCTGAAATATAATTGGCTAAACTGACGCAAAAGACATTTTCAAAGCAGAATATCTGACTCAAACATTGTTTTTTTTTTTTTCAGATAAACAAGTACAGTTGAAGTCAGAATTATTTGCCCCCTTGTTTAAATAATAACTTCACCTGTTGTGTTGTCTTTTCCGTTTGGTGTTTGTCTGTGTGGGCGTAGTCAGGCTTCCGGTTGCAATCGGTCAAACCGAGCACATAGGAAGTGCCGGTATAAGAATGCATGGGTTTGGAAGCTAACGATCGGAAGCTAACGAAGCCATTATGTCTGTTAATAGGTGTTTTGTGTTCATGAAGTTCGTATTATGTGTTTATTTATATTAAGAAGATTTTATGTTTTGTTGTTAATTATATTATATTAATTATATTATATTATTATATTATATTAAGGATTTTTTCTTTGTGTTTAATGTGAAGTGTGGATTGAATGTTTGAATTGAAAGATTTTAAATTAATTGAAAGTTTTTTAATGTTTGTGTATTTGTCCAATTTAATATGTATCTTTGGATGGTATAGCCCACAAACGGGCGGGAGTTTAGGCTATATAAGCCAGAGCCCAACTACCATACAACACTTGTTTGCAACTGTGGTGCCTTGAGCAAATTCTTATATTGTGGATACCTGTTATTATCGTTATTATTTTTTTTTTGTAGATATATTTGGAGTATATTTTTTTGCAGATTTTATTTTCCTGTTTGTTGTTTCTTTAGTACTTTTTATTTTTATTCTTTTGTTATCACTTGTATATACCTTCACTGTGGATGGACTTTTTGGCACTGTAAATAAACATCACCTTGCACGACACCTTGCTTTGTGATTAAGCCATAATTTCTCCCCCTTGAAGACGAGCTGGTGGGCTCGTTTTCATCACAAGGGCACTGGATATTTGTAATTGATACATGATGATGTGTTTCCCTCTTTATGCATTGAAGCAAGATGGTGCACCACCACATTAAAGGTGTCAGGTCCGAGCATTCCTAGATGAACATTTTTCCGAAAAGTGGATTGGTCATCGTGGGCCAGTTGAATGGCCCTCAAGGCGTCCCAAACTGACCCCCTTAGACTTTTATCTTTGATGTCATCTGAAGGCAATTGTCTATGGTGTGAAGATACAAAATGTGCAGCACCTGAAACTACAGATATTGGAAGCCTGTGCTGGCATTTCTCCTACAGTGTTGCTATCAGTGTGTGAAGAGTGGGAGAAGAAGGTTGCATTGACAATCCAACACAATGGGCACAATGGACGTTAAAACCAAGCACACCATTGTTTTTCTTGTGAAATTCCCATCAACTTTGATGTGTCAAATGACCCTCTTCCTATTGAAAAAACAAAAGTTGGATCCAAGATGGCCAACTTCAAAATGGCCACCATGGTCACCACCATCTTGAAAAGCTTGCCCCCTCACATATATCAAAGAGCTTAGAATGACCAAGAGGCGACACTCAATAGAACGTTCCATTGCTACAGCAGCGCCCAGCAACAGCCCAGATTCCGCCATTTTGGAGTGAAAGTGATCGGCCATCCATTGGATCTCATTACTGTCACGATGGCAAGCAGCTGCTTTGTTTTTTATTTATTTATTCAAAAAGCACATTAAAGCTGAGATACAACCTAAAAGACGACAATACAACACTTATTATCACAATCATCAGCACTTTTAATAGCTTATTTTACAGACTTATAATATGCTGTTGTTCTAATGGAGTTTTCATTCCAAAATGGGCGCCGCACCCTCTAGTGGCTGTTTCCAAAATTACATAAGCCTCTTGGTCATTCTAAGCTCTTTGCATATATTAATGTGCCACAAACAGGACGTTAATATCACCGACCATTCCCATTTTATTAAGGTGTATCCATATAAATGGGCCACCCTGTATTGCAAACTTGATTTGTTTACCAAATAATTAGATCTAGATGGATTTGCATTGTAAATGTAAAATAAAAGTTAAACAAAATATTATTTTTTATTTCGTATATTAAGATTTTAGTTACGATACTCCCAAAATCTTTCCACATAAATCTGCAGATTTTTACAAAATTCTCTACAGAAATAGCTTTGCTTCGCTAATTCTAAAGCTGAATAGCTGTATTTCCACTGGCATTGTTATGAGCATTATTTTATGATAGTTTCTGTAGCTGAGCAGCTGCATGCAAACTTCACATCACAAAACTCAATGGCAAATGTCAGATGGAGTGTTGTACAGCATGTTCTACTGGGCTCTGGAGTTGTGACAATGTGTTCTGTGATGTAATGAATCATGCTTGTCTTGTCTGTTTGGATGCGTGGATTTGGTTGCTGCTGGGAGAATGTTTCTTGTCTCATTGCATGCACTGTTGCCATACAGTTTGGTGCACAGGCCCTGGTAAGACAGGGGGCCAGATGTGAAACTATCAACCACCAATGCAAATCACCCTGGAAAGCCATTTCTACTCACTCTCTACCAGATGAATAAAACAAATATTTGGAAGAACTAAAACTATTATAGCTGCAAGGGGGGACCTGCTCCATTTTGGAAAATTAATGGAAATCTTTAGAATGCTGTGTTTTTAAAAGTCTGTTGCAATGGTCATTTATTCCAGTACCATGTAGCTGTCTGCCCATACATCTGGCTTGTCTATACCCAAGGTTGGATTTGTCATCTTTAAAGTGGATTAACCTCAGTCTTATGGTTTTTGTTACCTGTGCCAGCGAGTCATAATCCAGCTCTGTCCGCAGCTCCACACCACCTGTGTTACTGACTGGAGGAAGCCAATGACTGATCATGGCTTGTCTGGCAGGGGCAGATGGGAGACTCACCAGTATCCGTTTCTCCAGTCTTCTAAGCATGGCATGGTCCAACTCCCTGAGAAGAGTTTTAAATGGTTATTTAAAAAAGTCTATATATTTAAATAAGATGTTTTCCTCATAATCACTACTTACCAAGGTAAGTTTGAGGCAGCAAGCACAAATACAAGATCATTTGATCGAGCCAGTCCATCCATCTGAACAAGTAATTCAGTTTTCATTCTTCTACTGCCCTCATGATCACCTCTTGAAGACAACGTGAAAGAACAAAAATGAAGCTATGTGATATAACTATCAAAACTTTGGGTTGGATCATCAACCTGTTAGCTTTGAGAATTTTAGCTGTGAAATGTCCCACTTAAGGCCTCATTCCATCCTGTATATTAACCACGTGAGGTGTGAATATTTCATAACATTGTGGTACTGTGCCAATTATGGTTAAATAAAGTAGTTGAAAATATAATCCATTTAAGGGTTTTATCAACCAGAAATAATTTCCAGTAAGGTAGCTTTGCACTAATCTCGCTAAAGTAGAACTAGCCACTATCTTTAAAGTGATGACAAAATTACACATTTGTTGAGGTCAGAGTTGTTCAATCTATGATAATTTCACAGGTCAGATGTCAGACTTAATTGGTTTTCTAGGTTTTATTTCAAAGAAGGAACTATGATATTATTATGGATTAAGCAAAACTCTGCAGGACCTTCCCTGATCTAAAAGAAAGTTACTCTCATTTAATCCCCTAAGTGTTGCCAGATTGGGTGGTTTTGAATTTGATTGTGCTGGTAAATAATGGCTTAAGGGGGTCACACACCAAAAGTGCCACTCGTCTAATGTGCCGCATAGCACCACGCAGTGTCATGCATTTCAGAATTCTATAGGTTTCTAATGGGGTACACATACAGCCACGACTCAGGACACTGTTCATATTTCTGCCATGCCACAGAGTGCCATCTGATTACTTTCATTTTAAATATCATGCGAATGTGCACGTCTGGTGTGCAATACTTTCAACTGTCATGTGGGCGTCGTAAAGCTGCGCATCCGGTGTGACGCCATTTAGGCGGTTATGCAAAATTTAGGTGGTTTTGAAACATAAATTTTAAATACAATTTTTTAACAAAACGTAACTGTGTGCTCTTACTGAATTCAGTTAGTAGTGACCAATGCATAGCGCAAACTGCATTAGTCCACTCGCAAGCAGGTGAAGGAAAGTTGTATAAAATCTGACTCCCATTCGATTGCACGTGCATTACGCAGTGCCTGCAGTTCAACTCACATCGGTTTATCATGAAGCTTTTCACCAGATTTACTAGAGACACATTGGAACACTAGCTAATTGATATCCTCAAAACTAACAGACTAAAACTAACATCTAAAATACTTTATTTTATTTTCACAGGAAATTTAATGCAAAGAATTTATAAACTATTCAAATCTTCTTACTATTCATCTTAAAACAAATCTACAATATATAGGTAAATCTACAGAACAATAAGTCCACTGTTGTGATGTGATCCAGTTATGTTGTAATTTTACTATTGTGGTTCTGTGACTGTTGGTGTTGGTTGCTGTATGGGTAAAAAGTCTGACAAATAAAGTAACTATGCTAATTTCTGATTTAAATAAATTAAAATTGAATTAAATATTAATCTAATATTTTGGCCATTTTTTGTGAGTTTGGGTGGGTTTTGGAAAGTTTTTGGGCTGGAAAACGTCAGCTATATATGGCAACACTGTCCCCAATTTTTCCTTTAAACATTATCCTCTAAAACATTTCAGTTTAATAGAGGAGCAGGGTCTAAAACACTAATATAAGCTGAACTTAAAACAAGTGGCACATCAGCTCAGTTCAACTTTTACCATTTTTTAAAATTCTTCTCCATCTATATTTACATCCTTCAAAGAACGCAGCCCCTACATTTGACCTGATGTAACATAAATCCCAAAACACTCTGAACATCTTGCACCTTGTCATCCGATTGTGTACTGGGATTGAGTTTAGGATGTTGTAATATTAATGTCAGTGAAGGATATTGGCTCATGCTCACCCTTGGCCAACCCCTCGCTGGCTCATCACTGATTCCAGCTCATCCAAGAAAATGGTGGATGGGGCGTGATATCTTGCCAGCTCAAACAAAACCTGTGGAGAATCATAACTTGAGGTAAATCAGGGTTCTGCTGAACACGACCTTTAGAAAAAAAACATTTGAAAATACAAAGAGCAGGTCATATAGGAATTTAAGTGTCCTTATATTGTGCTGGAGTCCCTTACAACAGGTTTAAATGTGCCAAAGCTCAGAAAAACATTGCAATTTTACAACATATGTTTATTATGATTTCCTTCAAGTTAGTTTGAATCCATTCAGAACTTAAGGTCTGTAAACCTCTCCCTTCCAAAAGACAGCTTTTTGATTGGTCAACTGGCGATGTCTGTTTTAGTTGGTCATTCTGTTTCTATTCGTTGTCACACATTTCATAGTGTTTATAGTTTGCATGCAGACACGGATTATGCAAATATATTATTTTAATTGTGTTGATGTAGATCCCCACAAGCATTTTTTTTTGTGTGTGTCTAAAAGACATCCAAAGATCTTGGCTAAAACAAGGCTAGATTTGGGCTGTCAGCGGAAATGTAATAGATGTCTAACAAGAGTCTAAAAAACTAGGCTACATATTAAATAGGCAAGAATAAGTGACCACACATGTGAAGTCTGACTAATCTGTCGTTTTGGACTATTGTTAGATATCTCTTTTACTCAAATTCCTAAATTTAGCCTTGTTTTAGCCAAGACTTTTATCTTGTGATGTCTTTTTTATCTTTTTTGGTAACACTTTACAATAAGGGTGCATTAGTTAACATTAGTTAATGCATTAGTTAACATGAACTAACAATGAATAACGCATTTATTAAGCATTAACTAACCTTTGTTAATGTTAACTAAACATTTATTTATGTGTTAGCTAATGCATTAGTAAACATGATCTAACAGTAATTAAGGACTTTGTTCAGCATTACTTAATCTTTGTTAATGTTTATTTACACATTATCTAATGCATCTCTTTACATGAACAGCTTAATTAGTTCATGTTTACTCACTCATACACTAACGCATTTGTTAATGGATTAGATCACTTGATCTTATAATGAACAACACATTTATAAAGCAATACTGAATCCTTGTTCATGAAAACTTACAATGTTAGTTAACACGTTAGTTAACATGAACAACATGTTAGCATAATTGGTAAAGCTTTTAATAAGTGCATAGTTCCTGATCAATGTCAGGGACAAAGGAGGACTCTTTTGGAGTGTATTACATCAGAACCTCAGCTTTAACTGTTATTCATGTTTGCTAACACTTTACTAACATGATTTATCATTAACAAAGCATTTATTCATAGAATTATGATCCTTATTGTAAAGTGTACACTATTCCAACATTACCTAATGCTTATCTAACATTAATTAACACTTTACTAACATGATTTATCATTAACAAAGCATTTATTAATAGAATTTGAATCCTTATTGTAAAGTGTACACTATTTCAACATTATCTAATGCTTAAGTAACGTTAATTAACACTTTACTAACATGACTTACCACCAAACCAACAATAACTAATGTTACTAACATCTGTGGGTTCATTAAAACAGTCATTATTGATTTTCCTGGACCCAAAAAATACTCAAAACCATGTATCACTCAGACTTTCAAAACCTTTAATACATTACATAGGTCAATTATAAAAACATAAACACATTTTTAGTTTTAAGATAATTAATCTCTGCAAAACTGGGAAAGTGGTTATTGCCAAGATTGCCAAGGTTCATGGTACTTCCAGGATGCAAATGTTGTTTAATAAGTGGCATAAGGTGATTGCAGGACCTTTGATGAACAAGCAAAAATGCTTTTTGTGTGTGTGTGTGTGTTCAACCCCCAGCCTTCCAAAGACACATTTTCTTCTGTGCCACGTCTTCCACGTCCATACTGCAAAATATGCACGCAATATAAACACAAAGATAAATATACAATATAAATAAGTTAAATACAGATAAGGTGTTCAACAAATCAACAATTATTTGGTGCTTTGTGCACACAATGACATTTTATTATTTCTGTAATATGTCTTGCATGTTAGTTATATATTATTCATCTTTTATTTGTGGAGGAAGTTGATTTCATCATGTATGCATCAATCTTTATTGTGCAAACAACAAATGGTTGATGTATTCACGTTCAACATGCAGAAAGCAACATAAATATGTCTAACTGTATGCAATTAATTAGTATTATTTGTTGTTTTAAAATATTAAAATGCACTGCTTACCTGCTGTTGCACTGAATTCTATTACTTCCGTTTCTTTATTGGGCTGTCGTCACGGCTCGCGGGCACGAGCGCAGGTGAAAGGGTTCCGGAAGTAAAACTGCGATCATTAATTCAAAGTTTTACCGCTAATTATTTCATTCCAGAAGACGCATTTGTCAATAACTCTTTAGCGATGTGGTTGTATATAAGTTGCTATTGTGGTTGCGAATTAGGAATTCGTTGGCAAACTTTTGTAGTCCATTAAAAAAAACTACACTACCCATAATTCGTCAACAGTCTGGCGGGTAACGGAAGTTGTGCTTGATGATGGCAAGCGGTTAAATGGAGGAAAGTAATTTGAGCTCTTGCCTTCAAGCGGGAGAAAGACCAAAGAAAAACCAAACGATGAATTTACAGAAATGTCTGGTAAGTAGCTTTAATCAAACTTTTTTACCAAATGGTAACACTTTTTAATATTGCTGATCTTAATATTAGGTCATACTTATAGTTTACTAACATGAACCAACAATACATGTAACTGTTATTTAAGTATTTATTGATTAACAATAATTAATGAAAATACAGTTGATCATTGTTTGTTAATGTTAACCAGCACATCTTTTAGAAATACATTTTAATATTTTACATTTGTAAAATGTAAGATTTTAATAATACATTAGTAAATGGTTGATAAATTATGTTCATTGTTTGTTGATGTTTGTAAATGCATTACCTAACATGAACTATGATTCCTGTAACGTTAACAAATGTACTTTTTTTGTAATCTAAAGTTTATTTTAGTTACTCAACCATGGAAGGTGGTGAAGTGCAACAAAGGAGTCCTGGAGATTTTTGACAAAGGAAGTAACATGACAGATGCGTTCCGAAAGTATGGTGTGGACCGAAACACGATTATGCAGAGTGCAGCTATTGCTGAACTGGCCATTGCAGCTCTTATTCTATGCAAAACTATACAGAAATTCAAAATAAACAGGGAGAGAAATTATTAAGCATTTACTCAAAATTGTTAAGATGATATCATGGCAGATGAGAGCATTGCACACAAAATACAACCCATGAAAAATGAGGGGAAATTGCTTTTAATAAAAAAAATATTGATTGTTGTAAAGAAAAAAAAAGGTTTTATATGTATATGTATATACACTTTTTATACTTTATTTTTTATTTTTATAATTATTATGTTACTTATTTGTTTCTTTTTTTATATATATTATTGCACAGTATATGTTATGTAATGTACAGTAATAAAGATTTTGAAAGTCTAAGTGATACATGGTTTTGAGTGATTTTGGGATCCAGGAAAATCAAAAATGAACCCACAGATGTTAATAACATTAGTTATTGTTGGTTTGGTGGTTAGTCATGTTAGTAAAGTGTTAATTAATGTTAGTTAAGCATTAGGTAATGTTGAAATTGTGTACACTTTACAATAAGGATCATAATTCTATTAATAAATGCTTTGTTAATGATAAATCATGTTAGTAAAGTGTTAATTAACGTTACTTAAGCATTAGGTAATGTTGGAATAGTGTACACTTTACAATAAGGATCATAATTCTATGAATAAATGCTTTGTTAATGATAAATCATGTTAGTAAAGTGTTAGCAAACATGAATAACAGTTAAAGCTGAGGTTCTGATGTAATACACTCCAAAAGAGTCCTCCTTTGTCCCTGACATTGATCAGGAACTATGCACTTATTAAAAGCTTTACCAATTATGCTAACATGTTGTTCATGTTAACTAACACGTTACCTAACATTGTAAGTTTTCATGAACAAGGATTCAGTATTGCTTTATAAATGTGTTGTTCATTATAAGATCAAGTGATCTAATCCATTAACAAATGCGTTAGTGTATGAGTGAGTAAACATGAACTAATTAAGCTGTTCATGTAAAGAGATGCATTAGATAATGTGTAAATAAACATTAACAAAGATTAAGTAATGCTGAACAAAGTCCTTAATTACTGTTAGATCATGTTTACTAATGCATTAGCTAACACATAAATAAATGTTTAGTTAACATTAACAAAGGTTAGTTAATGCTTAATAAATGCGTTATTCATTGTTAGATCATGTTAACTAATGCATTAACTAATGTTAACTAATGCACCCTTATTGTAAAGTGTTACCTGTTTTTTTTTTTTAAATAAAAAAGAATTGCTTGGTGGGTCAGTAGCAGGCAAAAAATAATTCATATAACGACTCGTATAATGAAGTCAATTCAGAGAAACCTTATCACTTTGCAGACTGTTTACATTACAGGACAGCTACGTTACAAACTGCAAAAAAATATATTTTTGAAAAACCAATATATAACCTGCTCTTTTAATAACACAAATCTGAAAATAATGTCTAGAAGTCTCCTGACCCGAACCAGCTTCTCAGAGTCTCCCCTCCATTTGCTCACAATACTGGATGCAGAAATGTTGAAAAAAGTTGTGTTACACTCTGTAGCTACAGCTTTGGCCAGCATCGTTTTTCCAGTGCCTGATTTTAAGAAGACAGTCCTCACAATAATTTTATATCACACAGGAAAGGACTTAGACTTCATATTTAGATTGATTCACATTTACGTTTGAATACTGCACTAATGTCTATGAACAAATAGGAAACAGAAAGATGTCACCTGGCGGTCCATACAGGAGCAAGCCCTTCCATGGCGACAGGATTCCAGTAAACAGTTGAGGATACTGTAAAAGAGGGAGTTGTTAGGGTATTGCTTGATAGTTATTTTGAGTAGTTGCAAATTGCTAAGTGTTTGATTTGATTATTTTTCCTAACATGGTTTAGTTCACATAATAGTGCTATCACACGGATCACTCCTGCAAAACCTGATATAAAACATTACAATATACAAAGAAAGTAGCTCAACAAAATCTAAGCACAAGCTCACAAAAGATGCATATCTGCACGTAATAAACTTTAAAACCACTAATTTGTGGACAAACCCAAATATTGGGTTTAAAAAAAGTGTAATTCACATATAATTATATATATAAAAATAAACCCAATGAGGGCTTTTTCCATATTTGACGCAACAAGAGTGTACAAACTAAGATTACATCTCAGCTGATCACTTGTGAGTAGATCACTGGAAATGCATATTAATTCTGGGTAGACACAGGGGGATCCGGGTGGTAGGGGATGACCATTTCTCAACCCTCCAGAGTGACTGATAGTGACTTTTGCTAGGTTTCGATGTGGTCCCTTGAGGTGGTTGCTAAAGCACTTCTAGGCTGTCGTTATCTTTGTTTTAAATAGGTACATTGTTCTGAATAGGTGCTGGTTGGTTTTTACTGTAGAGTGTTGATGGTGGTTATTAGGATGAGTGGCTGCTTGTACGCGAGCTGTCACTGGGTTGGTACCTTTTCAAAAGGTACATATTTGTACTTAAAGGGTTCATATTGGTACCTCAAAAGTATATATTAGTACTTAAAAAATTTAAGGGGAACAATTTTGTACTTTTTATGTACTAATATGTACCCTTGAGGTATTAATAAGGACCTTCTAGGTACAAACTTGTACCTTTTGAAAAGGTACCACCCCAGTGACAGCTCGTGTACCTTTATTTACGAGAGTGTAGCTGTTGTCGTATCTTGCAATATGGGATTTTGTTAGGCATGCTGCAAGGGGAATGGGTAAACAAGTTCAGTCCTAAAGAGCCACAGCCTTTGATAAAAAAATAAAATAAAATAAATAATAAAAAAAAAAAAAAAACTCCTGTAGTTTAGTACAGGAATTACCTGCTTGTAGTTTTCTACTAAATTCTCGATTGCGAATAGGGATGGGATAAAACAAGATGATGTGACACTAATAAAGCAAACAGTTCACCATGTTTTGCTCTTCTATTAATGATATGACATGACATTTTAGACCAGCTTTTATTTTGCTTGAATTTCAGCTTGAATTTTGGAATGCAGTGACATTGCGAAACTTGTCGAAGTGGAAATTGTGGAAGTCAATGGGGAGAAAACTGCAGTATTACCGCGGCTTAACACTCAGACCTTGATTAAATTGTGTAGGTGTGTTTGATTAGGGCTGGAGCAATACTCTGCATGACTATGGCTGTATCCAAAACCAACACTATAACATTAATCACTTTTCTCTACATTAGTTCACTATGTAGTACACTTAAAAGATTGAATGAAAAAGAGTGACTGAATTTAAGCACTGGAAGGGAGGCTGTTTTGTTTGTCTTTACTGAATGATAAATCCTTCAGATGGATTAAACTCAACTAGAGCATGTAATAGTTATTTAAACAACCCCTTAACTGTCACTCCCACTTTTTGAACATAGACATGAAAATGGCATGTTCAACTTAAATGAATGGCAATCTACAATGCTTTGGTGCACAGATTTAAGCTTGGTCTCGTTTTAAAGAAGATTGATGTCAGATTGTAGTTGAAGTGAAAACCTTACGCGCCTTCGTTTATGAAAATTATAAAACAATAAATGTGTGTTATTATAATACATAAAATATGTATTTTACAAAGCACATTTTAAAATAAAAACTAAATATCTAAACAAATTATATACCAAATTTAAAATTGATGTTTTAAAAAATTAGCTTTCAGTAAGATTTTGTTTGACTGCAGTAATATAATCACCACTAGATGACCTCCAGTCTCTCTCGAGTGCCCCCTATGTTTTGAGGAATATAAACTGTATTTTTCCATACTTTTGACAATATTTGTAAAGTAGACATACAATTCTAAAGTAGTATGTGCAGGTTGGTGGCATTTGATTTGAATTTAGCCCCTAAAAACATCTGAACAAAATTTTATACGTGGATTGGTGTAACAAAGTCATATTTTTAGGACCCTGATGAGTATACTTATTGCAAATTCATAAATAGCGGTTGCTCAGTAATATCTAGCTAAAACACTTGTTGCAAACTAGACATTTTAAGCTTTCAAATGATATATAGTTTAGCATGATTGCTTAATATTTACATAACAATATAATGGTGTCAAAATGTAATAGTAAATGGTTCGACAGGTTGTAAATGTGTTTTAACCTATTGCTTTTCCACATAACAAAAACTAAAAAACTGTGGCAAAATATGTATTCCATATTTTCAATGATCAGTGGTGTAAAGAGTAAAGAAAAAAATCATACTCAAGTAAAAGTACCATTACTTGCCTAAAAATGTAATGCAAATAAAGTGTCTGTTGTAAGTATTACTCAAAGGATGAGTAAAAAGTAGACCTTTCAAAAGTACTTAAGAGAAGTGAGTATTACGCTGTGAAAAAGCTGACGTGTTGACATGTCATTTGTACATGTGTGTAAACGTAACATTCTGTAGTGTGTTTTGTTATTGCCTAGCAGGCACACAACGTCATAAGACGTTAATATTAGATTAGATTTAGGTTGTGATGTCAGGTGACCAAAATTTAATGTCTAGCCAGCATCTAAGGACACGTTATTTTGATGTTCAAAAACAATTTGAAATGACATTAATATTTGGTCGATTTTAGGTTGTTAGAAAGTGACTAAAATCCAATGTCGAGTCAACATTTTAAACCAACATCACATTGACGTCAAATACTGACATTTTATTTGTCAGGTATGGCAACCAAAATCAAACATCTGACAGATGTCATAGTGGTAACATCCACAGAACGTCAGGGTGTAATATTATCATCAGATGTTAATATTTGGTTGGTTTTAGGTTGGACATTGATGTCGGCCTAATCTTGAGTTCTGATGGTAACCTGATTTTCAATTCCCAACAAAATGCAACGCCCCACAATGTTAGGGTACAACGTCAATCTGATGTAATGTTGACGTCTTGTGCCTGCTGAGTGTTTAAGACCATATCAGTCATCATACAGTAAACATCCGTCATCTTTTCATCAGTGACATGCACCTAAACAGTCTCTGTCCATTGCTTTTTAAAAAAAAAAAATTGACATCTTCTTGGATACTTTGAATGCTTCCAAACAGTTTGCTGCAAATATAAATCACCTATGTCTTGAGGTACTTCATTATGATGCAATTTACCTTCTATGTGAGATTTGATTGGACAGGAATCACAGGACTGATTTTTCTAATCCCCATAGACAAGAAAAAAACAAAGTAGTGACTGCAGATTAAAGGAAAGTAGTGGAGTAAAAGTACCAATACAACACTAAAAATGTACTCAAGGGAGGGTAAAAGTTAACATTTTTTAAACTACTTATTTAAAATACAATTTCTGAGAAAAACTACTCAATTACAGTAATTTGAGTATTTGTAATTAGTTACTTTACACCACTGCCAATGATATATAGTTTGATATATAGTCTGCCAGCAATATATAGTTTGACAGGATTAGATTAGAATTCAAGTGCAAAAAGGTGGTGGGACAGTGGCAGTTAAGGGGATAACACCAGTGGTGGAAAGAGTACTGAAAAATCATACTCAAGTAAAAGTTCCCTTACTTGCCTAAAAATGTAGTGTAAGTAGAGTAAAAGTATCTGTTGTAAATATTACTCCAAGTATGAGTAAAAAGTAGCCCTTTAAAAGTACTCAATAGTAGTGACTAGTGAGTATTACGCTTTTAAAAGCTGATATGTTTACATAATTTATGCATCTGTGTTTAAACGTAACATTCTGAAGTGCATCGAGTTATTGGCCAGCAAGCACACAACATCATAAGACAATAACATTAGGTGAGATTTAGTTTGTAATGTCAGGTGACCAAAAATCAATGTCTAGCCAGCGTCTAAGGACAACGTTATTTGTTCAATAACAACATCAAATAAAGTTGATATTTGGTTGACTTTTGGTTGTGTTGGAAAGTGAACAAAATCTAATGTTGAGCCAACATCCTAAACCAACGTCATTTTGGCATCAAATCTGACACTTCCATGATTTTCATGGAAAAACAAAATGCAACATCCCCACTGCACTGGGGTACAACTTCATTTTGACGTCAAGTTGACATCTTGTGCCTGCTGGATGTATAAGGCCATTTCTATCAACATACAGTAAACATCTGTCATCTTTTCATCAGTGACATGCATCTAAACAGCCTCTGGGTCAATGCATGTAAAGATTTTGGACATCTTGAACACTTTTAATGCTTCCAAACAGTTTGTTGCAATTATAAAGCGCACATGTTTTGAGGTAGGGTTGGGTATCGTTTGGGGTTATTTCAATACAGGTGCTAAATCGATACTTTTAGAATGGTAACGGTGCCAAAATGGTGCCTAAACCGATATATATATATATATATATATATATATGTATATATATATATATATATATATATATATAATATTTTAATCATTATAATTGAACAATATAAATATATATATTTATAATAAGTTTAAAGTAAACATCAATTCATATATTATATATTTGAATTGCATTAATCTATTTCTTTTGATCAACCCTATTTTAAGGTTGTTCATTATGATGCGATTTATCTTCTATGTGTGATTTGATTTTACAGGAATCACAGGACTGACTTTCCTAATCCCCATAGACAAGAAAAAAAAAGTAGTGACTGCAGGTTGAAGAAAAGTAGTTGAGTAAAAGTACTGATTACTGCACTAAAATGTACTCAAAGGAAAGTAAAAGTCCACATTTTTAAATCTACTTATTAAATTACAATTCTTGAGAAAAACTACTCAATTACAGTAATTTGAGTATTTGTAATTAGTTACTTTACATCACTGGTTAACACTTGGTGAGCTGTCTATCAATGAAACAAAGTATGTTGATGTCGGTCAAGTATACAAATAGTATTTAAAAAATAAAATAATTATTTATTTAGAAACTTATGCCATCTTCTGGTCAGATGTTAAATTTCTTTCAGAGTGCAAACTTTTAGGGGCTGATCACATTGAAAGTGCTTTTTGCATTGAGAGGTTCCTTTATTGAATGATTTACTAAAGGCTGCGAGTGTTTTGCTCGCTGCTTATACACCGTGCACGCCTAACATTTTAACTGCCTGTTGCATCTTGCATTGTTGCCGTTCTGGCTTGCAGTTGAAAAAAGTCAACTCTGAGACTACGTCACTACGTCAGTCACGTCTTCTGCATTCTCCAATCAAATAAAAGCAGAAGCAGGGTTTCCGTTGAGGTGACAGCAGCGTTTGGGTTGTCAAGACCACTACGGAAACTGTTGAAGATAGAGGAGAGACTAATGTTTGTCACTGTTTTGAGTTATCCAGAGCTGTATGACTACACAAATCTGGAATAACACAATATTATTAATTATTACAATTAAACCAATATCAACAGCAATGCTCACGCACAATAAGCAACTGACTCAGTCATTTCATCTATCCTTTATTTTTTCTTGTCAGCAAAAAAGGCCTTGCGATGTGCCTCAAATTTTTAGGAACAGAAAAGCATGTTTGGTGTGACTGGCCCCTTACAGTATATTATGAGTATTTTCTAGCTGTTGAGTGTCCATTGGTTGTAAACTCATTACAGCGGTGCATTGTGGGATTGATTGAGTGCACTTTAGAATGCTTTGGGACACCACTACAAATGGCTGCTCATTCAAATAGTGCACTTTAGGGTATTGGAGTGATTCTGAATACTCTCTGCAAGCTGCTTTAGTAAACAGCATCCATAATCAATAGTGTTTCTCTTCTTCACGCTAAGGTGAATAACATAAGGTAATATTTTCACTGACCAATTAACCATCAGACATCACTTTGTCTTTATCCACTACCTGAAAAGGTCCACGTATTGACAAAAAAGTACTCAAGCCATAAAATATCTTTCAGCATAATCACACAGTTCTTACTTTATGTGCTTGAAGCAAAAAAGAGCAAAAAAAAAAACCTTGTGCAAGCAGAATTTCCAGGTAAATCTGTCAACAACCTTCTTCACCAACAGTGAAGACAAATACCAGTTTGTCAGGAGCGATCTGTGGATTTGTAGGCCAGATACGAGCTAGATATGTGTGTGGACAAATTGGATGGTATTCAGGTATAGATTTCATGTCATCTTAAGAAATAACCCTGAGCTCGGCTTTCCTGTAGCCTTTAGTGGAGATGTATTCAGAATCGAAAGCAGGCGGCAGCTTGAGAAATACCAAAGTGTTTAGCAGCCAAGCACCTTAATGGGGTAGACGACAGCTTCTTTGACTAATCGCTTGGCAGCCTCCAGCCCTATAATGTCGTCCCAGCGCACGTTGGGGTTGTGTAAATAGATATCCTTTATGGAGAGACAGGAGAGAAAGATGAAATGGAGTGCTTCAATAAGACATGTTTCACACTGTGTATGTTTCAGCTCACACATACACGGTGCACACACACAATGATAGTGGGGTATGCCACACACACTATATAATAAAACAAACTGTGTGCTGCTCTCTAGTGTTGAATTAATGACAGAATATGTTTTTTTCATTAATGGAAATATGTCTGATTTCCCCATGTTTTATTTCTAAATAGAAGGAATTCTTTACATGGGCAAGATAATACAATCAACTGAAGGAAAATACATTTTTAGGTCCATTAAAATGGGATATATGCACAGCTAGTGTTTTTCAGCCAACGATAAACTTCTGGTGAAAGATTAATGTGACTTTTTTCAACTTCATGCGGTTTATTTTACAGCATCAATGTTGTAATGTAATCAAAATATATTCAGTTGAATAGACTTAAGCATTCATTTAGTTGGTCAAGCGTAAAACGAGATGAAAGACGTTTAACCGCTAGTGCCGTCAGGATCAGAAGGCGAGCGCAGAAACTCCATTGAAAATACTGGGGTAAATAAAATTTTTAACAGGGTTCAGACACATTTTCTACTAAAATTCCATGACTTTTCCAGAACTTTCAAGTACATTTTGATGATGTAATGTTTCATGTATTGTCTACAGATACATGGTAAATAATAAGAAAACTTTACTTTTTTTTTAATGAGCACACAAAAGGATATAATTTAATAAGTCCTATGGTATTGAAACAAGTGAAGTGTGAGTAAATAGAGAGTACATTTTAATCTTTAAGTAAACTGCCCCTATAAGGCCTTTGACTGTGTGTGAATTTCAATATTTCAAATTTTAAAACATCCGGCCGCAAGACTTTTTTTTTTTTTTTTTTTTTTTTACTTTAATAAAGATTAAATAATATACAATGAAGACTGTAGTGTTGATAGTTCAATATCTGTACCTGAATAATGAATACCTGAAAACTTTAATTCACTTTTATCTTTAATATATTTTATTAATCTATGTTTGTAATTTATTTGTTATATATTATTCCTGATTCACTCATTTACAAAATCCCCCCCAGTCCATCCAAATAAACCTGTCAAATCATCAGGTGAAATTGTATTCACATCGCAATATATAATCACAGAAATACAAAATATGGTAATGTCAGATTTTTCCAATATCGTGCAGCCCTATTTTAAGTATACAAATATTTGGTAAACTAATTTCCATGACTTTTCCAAAACTTTGTGGGTTTTTCTGTTTTGCCAAAACTTTTCCTGGCCTGGAAAATGCCATGTCAAAATTCCATGACTTTTCCAGGTTTTCCATGACCGTATGAACCATGTTTTAAAGACATGGTGAGGGAAATGGGATTTAATGCAGTGCTTCTTGTGCAGTCTGAGACCTACTTTATAACATATACCTATCAGGCAGTAAAGAACACTTATTTTGAAAAAATAAAAATAATAAAAATAATAATAATAATAATCAGACCTTAAACAAGGTGATATTTAAAATGGAAGTGGAAACAGTTCACCGGAAGCGATGAGGCTGGCTGGCTGAAACTAAAAGTCTGAGTGCATATACCCCAATAATTATGCTAATATACACATCCTGCTTTCTAATTCTCATTCTAAAGTCACTAAATTAAATTTAGTTATAATAAATCCAGCATTGACTGTAATTACAACAAAATGCTTAAAAATGCTTCAAATCTGTAAAACAAAGAAACAAAAAAATTCAAGATAGCAATTATTTCCAACACTAAAAGTAAAAAGTCTAATAGAAAAGTTTTATGATAATAATAATAATATATAGATTTTTTTATTTAATTAATAAAAAATTTAAATAAATAGATTAAAATATTTACACACAGCTGATGTCAAAATTATTAGCCCCCTTTGATTTTTTTTTTTTTATTTTCTTTTAAATACTTAATACTTACCAAATAATGTTTAACAGAGCAAGCAAATTTTTACAGTATGTCTGATATTTTTTCTTCTGGAGAACGTCTTATTTGTTTTATTTCAGCTAGGATAAGAGCGATTTAAAAAAAAAAAACATTTTAAGGTCAAAATTATTAGAACAAACCATCTTTATGCAATAACTTGCCTAATTGCCCTATACTACCTAGTTAACCTAATTAATCTAGTTAAGCCTTTATATGTTACTTTAAGCTGTAGAAGAGTCTTGAAAAATATCGTGTCAAATATTATGTTCTGTTATAATGGCAAAGATAAAAGAAATCAGTAATTAGAAATGAGTTACTAAAACTATTATACTAATATGTTTAGATATGTGTTGAAAAAATCAACTCTCCGCTAAACAGAAATTGGGGAAAAAAATAAACAGGAGGCTAATAATTTTTGACTTCAACTATATATATATATATATACACACACACGTTTTATTCTTTAAAGTACAGTTTTTAATTTATTTTCTATTATACTATATATATATATATATATTATTTTATTTGTAATACTACATTTTCAAACACAAATTATCAAAGCTAATTCAAAATTAAAACATTTTAAATTAGCTTATTTCCTTCTTTATCAAAGTAAAAAAAAAATACATTGTTTATAATAAAGTGTAATATAATATGCAATATACAATAACTCTTATATATAAATCTTATATACAAAATAACTAAATCGTGGATCAATAAATTTGACTTACTCTGCTTATAACAGCTGCAAGTTCCTTCATGTCGCTGTTCATTCCAATGAGGGCACTAACTGGTTTCAGCAAGCGCTCCTGTTCCTTAAATATAACAGATAACAACACATGAACTCAATATTCAACCAATATAGACTTAAGGGTTGAATTTGTGTAGATTTAGAACGATTTTATTGTTTTTTGCTGTTTTTTTTATTATGAGAAATCAGTATATTGACAGGAAGTAAAGAGAGGGGGATGAGACCACTAGGCTATTAGCACCAACCACAATATTTAATGTTTAGCTTTGCATTTATTTATACATTCACTTAAATATTACTCTCAGCAGTGTGATACTTTTTTAAAATTACTATATTACTGTAAAGTTACCTACCGTAAAATCTGCATTGTGCAATGTGTCATTAGCAGCACCTCTAACTGCATCTTGAATCAGATTCCTGTAATCGATCTGATGAAGAAGATCATAGGGGTTTCAATTCCGCATGGGTGAGCTTTCATCTTTAACATAGACAGTTTGTATAAATAGGGTAAAAATGTAACTAATCTCCATAATTCCTCAGTTGAATGATGACATTAAAATAGTTTTTTTAAGGTTTTGAAAATGTTTTGCATTGAAATGCAAAATAAAGACTTTATTTGGGTATTTAAATATGGACTAATTAGCATACAATTCTTGCACAAAAACTTAAACACTGGATGAAATCAGGCTCAAAATTCTCGTTTCTTTTTCCACACATTACAGTGAAATGTTTTTCCAGAGTGTATTTTAGTAATCTAGTTTTCTCACTGCAATACTGAACAAAATATGAACCAACGAAACAATAACCAGCCAGAAAAAAGAAAAACAAATCTAGTTTTTAAATGTGTGTGTACTGTGTTTATTTATTGTGTACAGTGCTCATCATAACTGAGTACATCCCATTTTGAAAATACAATTTTTTATATATTTCTCAGTAATATAGGCAGTGTTTTGGGGCATTTAAAAAACAGATCAATTAAGTATATATTTATTTTAATAATATTTTAGTAACCAAACATATTTAGGAATTGAAAGATTATACAATTAAATTCAAGCAAAATATTGCAAAAATTAAAACCAACAAAATTTCAACAACTTTTTCCCCCATTTTTTTGCTTCTCTTGATGTTTCCTCTTTTTAAATTTATATTTACTTCAGTACATACTAATCTAATGTATGCACAAATATAATATTGTTTAGCTTCTTATTACAAATACAAGTTTGTGAGGGATGCGCTTATATATGCTAAGCACTGTATGTATATATATATATATATATATATATATATATATATATATATATATATATATATATATATATATATATATATATATATAAAGTTGAAGTCAGAATTATTAGCCCCCCCCCTTGATTTATTAGTCCCCAATTTCTGTTTAACTGAGAGAATATTTGTTTAACACATTTCTAAACATAACAGTTTTAATAACTAATTTCTAATAACTGATTTAATTTATCTTTGCCATGATGACAGTAAATGATATTTGACTAGATATTTTTCAAGACTTTTTTACAGCTTAAAGTGACATTTAACGGCTTAACTAGGTTAATTAGGTTAACTAGGCAGGTTTGGGTAATTAGGCAAGTATAATGATGGTTTATTCTGTAGACTATTAAAAAATATATATAGCTTAAAGAGACTAATAATTTTGACCTTAAAATTTTTATTTTATTTTATTGTAGCCGAAATAAAACAAATAAGACTTTCTTCAGAAGAAAAAATATTATCAGACACACAGTCAAAATTTCTTTGCTCTGTTAAACATAATTTGGGAAGTATTAAAAAAATCCAAAAAACAAAATCAAAGGGGCTAATAATTCTGACTTCAACTGTATATAAATGCACAAACATGGGTTAAAAATCTTTACATACAAATTCATATTTATATATTTTTATAACATTTGTTATTATGATAAACAAACATATGTAAACATTTTCTAAATTACAATTTTTATTTTATTTTAAATAAATATTAAAATAAACAACATTAAATGTATTTTATATTTATTTATTATTTTGTGTGTACCATGGTTTGATAATAAAGCTTACTCTTGTTTTATAATAAAAGAATTTATTTATACATAATCATTGCATATATTATTAAATCATTTTATATAGAAATACAAACATAATCTATATGTACAGTTGAAGTCAAAATTATTAGCCCCCTGTTTATTTTTCCCCAATTTCTGTTAAACGGAGAGAAGATTTTGTCAACACATTTCTAAACATAATAATTTTAATAACTCATTTCTAATAACAGATTTATTTTCTCTTTGCCATGATGTCAGTACATTGTATTTGACTAGATATTTTTCAAGATTTCTATACAGCCTAAAGTGACATTTTAGGGCTTAATTAGGTTAATTAGGTTAACTAGGCAGGTCAGGGTAATTAGACAATTGATTGTATATTTGTTTGTTCTGTAGACTATCGAAAAAAATATGCCAAATGGGCTAATATTTTTGACCTTAAATGGTTTTTAAAATATTAAAAACTGCTTTTATTCTAGCCGAAATAAAACAAAAAAAGCCTTTCTCCAGAAGAAAAAATATTTTCAGACATACTGTAAAAATGTCCTTGCTCTGTTAAACATCGTTTAGGAAATATCAAATGCGGGCTAATAATTCTTAAACTGTACATATACATGTAAATGAATGGTGTATATAGATATTAAACTATACACAGAAAAATATACAGATTAAATTATGTAAATACAGACTTTGATTTTGAAAGCAATTATTCATTTAAAATGTATTCTTTTTAATCAAATAAAATGTTGTACATTGAGGAAAGTTATGTATTAACAAATCACTAATATGTTGCTGATGAATAGATTCAAAGATCATTTTGAAAAAAAAAAAGCCTTGTAAAAATATGGATTGTAATTTATATCGACAGACAATAACACAGTGTATTTTGTATGTTGTTGTTTTTTACATTAGTCTTTTGAAATGTATAACTTATGAAACTTATAAGTCTTATAACTTATTATGAAAAGGCTAAAAGCCAAAAATCTCAAATCAGTTTTGCCTGCAGTGTCTCTCTTTAAAAGAGAATTATGACCTTTCTCATGTGCGTTCCCTCTTCTGCCCCGTTCCTGATGATAGGAGACACATTCAGACCAAAGCCTAATGTGTCTGCAGACGTCAGCCGGTCCCCGTCCTGCACAAACCAAACAAAGGGATTCTTAAACATTCATACAGGACATCAAAACATGATGTGTCTTAGAATTTTGGTGACTTACACTGGATTTACTAAAGTCTCTTCCAGTTAGTTTGGATTCAGACTTCTTTACGGTATTTCTGGATGAAGGTCGCTGGATGGAATTGATTCTTGGAAGCGTGTGACTGAATACGTACACAAAAAGACATAATGATAAATAATAAATCATGTTAAAATAAAGAGGAATAAAAATTGTCTTTGAATTCCTTTGTGAGAAAAATGCTAAATTTACCTTCTTTTACCACAACTCTTTATACGACGATTCTCTCCTTAAAAGAAAAAAACAGATCTCTAAATAATGACTTTTTAATGACAAATAATGATATTATTACATTAAATATTACTTAGAGAATCTTGGAAATGTCAATCAATCTAGCAATATAATAAATTATTTATTTATTTACATTTCAGAAGAGTTAAGAAATCAATATTTGGTCAAAAAACAGATTTTCAGTCACAAGAAATGAAAACATTTGTCATTCTGATAAACTGGAGTCTTCTGGAAAACAAACAAATTTATTAAAATGTTATAAATTACAACTTTGTTAAAATATTAGTTTTATTATAGTAAAAGTGTGGGATTTTTATTTATTTATTTTTGTGGTCACCATGGTTTGATAACAAAGCTTTGGTTTTATTTGCAGTAAAACTGGATCATTTTCAAAAGGCAACTTTTAAAAATACTAACATTTGTATAATGTTATAAGCAAAATAATAATAACAATTATAATAAACAAAATATTTAATTAATTAATGACTAAATAAATACATAAATACAATCTCACCTTGTTCTGCCAGTTTCTTTGTTAGTTTTGGATATTTCTGAAACTTTATGAAGTAATAACTTTCATACTCCATAAGAACTGTCTCCAGGTCAACATTATCACACACTTCAAAACGGCATAAACCAAAACTGCTTTCTTTTTCTAAGGCCTTCGCTGAATCCATATACCTATGAGGTCAAAAAAGAAATTAAAGTAAGTAAAAAGTATATACAATTGTGAGAAAATATTTTTGGAAAAAAATCTCACCCCTCCTCCATTAAATGATGATAAATCAAAACAAGCAAATTTCTCCGCCGTGTTTCTGTTCTGAGTTCTTCCTAAAAAGGAAAAAAAAACAGTAAACAAAAAAGTATTTTAAGTGAAATTACCTGAAAAAAAAAAAACTAACAGTAAATCTGTCACAAATTCATTTGTAACTTAACATTAACAGTTACCTGTAATATGGTATTTTGTATATTAAAAAAGTATAGTAATTTATAGTAAATAAATACTATCATGAATGAATGAATAAATGAATTAATGATTTAAAGTACTTAGGTTGCTGTGGTAATATATCAACTAATATAGCCATGTATCCAGCACTGTACTACTTTTATTTACTGTAGTAAAAACTGAAGTACATTATTTATTAACCTATGAGTAGGCCCACATGAAATCTGTGCATGCAGAATTATGCAGATTTTTAGCCCATCATTGAGTCTATTCATTTAGTTGTGTGTAAATTTATGTTTATTGAGTTTTTAAATTAATTTCAGCCTGATTATTGGCTAATATGAATATGTTTATGATTTATTTACAATACAGTTTGTAAAGTAATATTTCTGTCTTTTAGTAGATATATTATTTAAGAGCCTTGCTTTGTTTACAAAATACATTAAATTGGATCTGCATTGTAAACATTAAATAAAACTTAAAAAGCTATTATTTTTTATGTCATATATTAAGTTTTTAGTCATGATTCTCCCAAAATCATCCCGCTAAATCCGCAGATTTTTAACAAAGTTCTCAGCAGAAAAACCAAAAAATACCTGCAGATTCTGTCTGGCCCTACTTTTTAGTTTACTTAAGCTATATGCTGTAATATTCATCAACAACGTGTTATATATAAACTATGTTAATGTTTATTTTAATCGTTATTACATACATAGTTGGTGTAAAAGTACAATTTGATTGTTATATACATTACAACGTATAACTTATTCGACAGATGGCGCCAAATCTTATATTCTGGTAAATGTGAAGAAAAGCGTATCAGGTTGCTATGGACACAAAATAGATGTAAACACGAGTAGCTAGTTGCTAACTGTCAATAATATTCTCCAAAAAATGGAAAAAAAAAACCTTGACTTCATTCGTCACCCCGTTTCTCTCACCATAGTAGTTTGTGTTTGTACGGAGTCTAATGTTTTAGTACATTAGCGTTATATCATGTTACAAGTTAGCCGGTTTGTTTGGTGTGAAATCATATAGAGCAAAGTTTAAGAAAAATACAACGGCTTGACTTTAAGAAAAACTCACCACCTCTCTGGCTTGATTCGCAGTTCTGATGGCTTGATAAGAGAGATCCATGGTATTATGATTCAAGACGCACACACACTTGACAGGAGCACGCTGTGGCTTGGATGGACCACCAGCGCATGTGTGCTAGTCCTCGGTGACTGACTAGTATGATCGCAAACGGGAAGAAATACGCACAATGACATACATAAAAAACACATTTAGAATCAAGTAAACGTTAACTACTTCATAAAAAAAAAAAAATTATAAATAAAAAACAGCAAATGTGCATTTAATTGATTATAAATACATGGTAAAAGCTAAAATTTTAAAATACTAGTACAAAATAAACGTTTAACGTTATAATGCATTATAAAATAACTATTGAATATATTAAATATGAAAAAAGCACATACATTTTAAAATATTTTAATTAGAAATTCAAAGCTTATTTTTAATGCGTATTCTAGCCAGCGTAGCTATATATATATATATATATATTTTTTTTTTGTCAATTTACTTCCATTTAAATGTAGAATTTTTTTTTCCAAATCGAGTTTGTTAAAATTCAAGAAAATTACTTGCCACTAGTGTGAAACATATAAATTAAATTAAATAGAAGATTGATTGTGGAGAAAGCATTTAAGCCTATTTATTTTAAGGTATTATTAAGTGAATCAAAATCTACCTAAGTTTAAGCCGCCCTTATAATAGGAATTTTAAAAAACTGATTTTCTAACATAGTGCGTTTTATTCTTCCAAAGAAATTTAAACAGCATTACATCAATCACAGGTCGGTTTATCTACAAATAGATAAAGAGTTAGATTTGAGTTTTTTTTTTTAGCTTTTTCTAATATAGGGTCAATGTTTTCATTATATCTTAGTTTTACGTCTTTTAATATTTTAATTCCTAAATATTTTACGTTCTCTTTGACAGGAATATTATAAATAAAGGTGACAGCACATTTTTTAATCGGAAGCAACTCAAACCTATCAATATTAAGCTAAAGGCCAGAAGCATCAGTAAAAACTTTAAAGTCTTTAAAGCAATTGGGATCTGAGAGACATCTTTTAAAAACAACGCAGTATCTTCAGCTAACTGGCATTATTAAGTGAAGTGCCATTATTAAGCCGAATAGAACTATTTCCATTATTATAAAGCATTTTAATACCATTACAGAAAAGCCAAAACCAAGTTTACGCAGAGCCTGTAATATAAAATCATGTTCTAGGCAATCAAATGCTTTATAATAATCCAAAAAAGAATAAAACTGTCAGTGGAAATAAGATCTGAATAATCCAATAAATCTAAAATCAAGCGGATATTATTAAATATATATGTCTCTGGTGTATAAAACTTGATTGGCACTCATCTATTATACTATTCAGAATAGATTTTAATCTTTTTTGCTAAGAATAGGGCAATAATTTTATAGTCAGTATTCAATAAGGAGATTGGACGCCAGTTTTCTATTAAAAGGGGGTCTATAGATTAGTCCCTGACATAAAGTAGGAGGGAGCATTAAATTCTCAAAACTTCCTAAAAATATTTTGTGTAAAAAATTAGCCCGTTTTTTAATTTTTTTTTTTTTTAATAATTTATACATTTCTGCAGACAACCCATCAGTTCCAGGGGATTTATTAGATTTGAGTTTAGCAATTGTCTCAGCAATTTCAGTAAGACTGATAGGTGCATCACGCAGAAAATTCTCTTCAGAATTGATTTTATTTATGTTGAATAACAAATCAAAAAAATGCGTGGCGGATGCCTGACAAAATTTAGAAATGTATTAATCTTTATAAAATCTGGCACAAAATTCAGCAATTGTTTGGAAGTCTTCAGATATATTCCAGTCAATACATAGTTTTTGAATAGAATATTTAGCTTAAAAGCCAAATAAATAAATAAAATAAGCAGAGTTCTGCTCACCCTCTTCTAGCCGTTTTCGACGAGACCTTATGCAGGCACCTTCAGCTTTTTGTTTATATATATCTTCTAATAGATGTTTCTGATCTATAAATTCAGATCTCTCTGTGTCTGTATTTTTATGTGATAATACGGATATTATAGCCATAATTTGATCATTCATTATTCTTATATTATCATTTCATTATTTTTTCAAGTTTTTGCTAACAGACTACAATAATTTCTACAGTATTTATCAATTTCAAATTTAAGAAGTCCCCAATTGCTACAAAATAAATTTTCTTTATTAGCTTTATTCCAATAAGAAGAAATTAAATAATAAATTTTAGTTTGAACATCATTGTGTTTTAAAATTGAATTATTAAGTTTCCAGTATGAGGATCTTTTATGTGGGGGAGAAGAAGATATTGGTACATAGATAATAATGGCTTTATGATCAGAAAATAAAGAGGGAATAATATCTGTTTTTATGTTTGATAATTCTGCTGAAGTTAACCTAAAGTCAAGTCGGGATTGATTAGAAAGTGAGTTATTGTTCCAAGTGAAAACTTTTTGTGAAGGATGAGTTTCTCGCCACACATCAACAACAGAAAACTTTTGTACAAAAGAATATAAATAATCATTATTAAGACTGGTGGGATGCAGGGGCCATCTATCTAATGTGTTATTAAAAACAACATTAAAGTCACTACTAACAACTAAATAAGAGTTTGGATATTTAGGTAACATTTGAGATAACTAAGCTTCTAATTTACAAAAAAAAGCTTATTATCTTTTGGAGAATTATATCCATAAATATTGGTAATAACATATGTTAGGTTAGAAAACTGTAATCAATGTGATTGTGCAAACCAACATGCAAAAAGACATGCGCAAAAGCATTAGTTTAAAAAAAAATGCCTCATGCTTTTTGTTCTGACCTGCGGCGTCAAAACCTTCTCCACCAATCAGATCGGCACTTTTGTTCACGTGTACGGAGCTGCTGAAGTTACCGTAAACAGCACTTAGAGGTGCTCAAGCTTTTATGCAGGAGGAAAAATCTCTGTACTATTAACAAAAGCCCTTCCGCCCACGAAGAACGCTCGCTTGTTGATGGCCACAGCTTCAATCTTCCTGCTCGATCAACTGGAGACAAGTCCTCTTTGATTTTCAAAAGATTTGCTGCTTTTGTGGCACGCCAAACTGCATCTCGGTAAAAGCGCGATGTAAATCGGAAGAGAATACCACGGCCCTTGCTATGTGGGTGAACACGGCCAAGACGATGTGCCACATCAAAGACATCGGGAAATTTTTCCTTAAACTGAGGAAGAATCTGTTGGCACAAGTCAATACTCTCCTGACGGACATTTTCTTTATCTTTCTCAGGAATTACGTGAATCCTCAGATTCCATCGACGAGTGTAGGTTTCCAAATGCGACAAGCGTTCTTCTCGTTCATTGGAGTTAATTTCTTCTTTCTTTGTGCGCGAGTCAATAAAATCAACTCTTTGTTTCAGATCTTTAATCTTGTTGCAGATGAAATCAATAGTTTCCAACACACCAGAATTTTGTTCAGTGTTCTTGCCGACCTCTTCTTTAATGTCTTTGATTATCCGGGAGTATTTAACTATCAGTGTTTGTAATTCGTCTGATCTATTTGTCAATAGCTGAAATAATTCAGAGAGTTGCGTGGAGACACTTGTCGCGTCGAATTTGTCCGTTTTCCTTATTTTGACCTTGGGGAGATTTGCACGGAGTGTCGGTAGCGGCTGGATTACTTCCTCCATTTGCATAAGCACAGAATATGCTAGGAATATTTATGAATGTCTCTGATAGACTTGAACAACTAAATGAATGCCAAAGTTTATTTAACTTAATATATTTTAATTACATAACAACATTGATGCTGTAAAAGGAACCGTATAAAATGAAAAAAAAAAAAAAAAACTCACAATACTAGGTCACCGGAAGTTTAAGTATGGGAACAACACTAGCTCGGCATATCCCCAATTATATTCATCTGACTCCATATTCTACTGCATCCCAGAATATTACATAGCACAAAAAATGTAAAAATATATATTAAATATGTTATTGTCCACAGCAGACCGGAACTCGCCGTGATGCAGATTCCCGAGTCTGTGTGCTCCAATGAGGTGAGCCCTCTTCAGCGCTCACCTTGACAACGAGACTCACAGCAGTAACGTGTCTTGTAAAAATTTGCATCTGCATTCCTATAAAGCTGGTCGCTTCTCTCTCAGCGTTGTCATTTTGGTGTTGCTTTTTGTACTTGACCAATGCGAGTTCAATACCGATGGTGCGAGTGGAGCCACGCCAATCTCTCGAAGTCCGCATATATATATATATATATATATAATTTTTTTAATAAGCAATATAGTGTTATATATAATAAAGTCAATTTTATTTTGTGAGCACAGCATCAGAAATTAAGTTATTGCATCTGAACATGTACTTCTACAAGGAATCCTGCTTCATAAATAACTCCTCTCCCTCAGTCATCTTTCCATCGTTTGTTGTCGAACACCGTAAAACAGAAAGAAGAAATCATCCTTTTCCCTATCATATGGATTTACTTCCATTGGCCAGACAGAGACACCGGCCTCACAGCTCAGAGAATGTCGGTGCCATAACTTATGGATCCACGACCGGTAAATGTAGCTTGTGTGGACGCTACTTGACTAATAAAATAGCTTCGCTACTGAAAAGCTATTTGATTTAGAAAGTAGCAACGCTACTGCCCAACACTGTCCCTTTATTTATCAGGGGTCACCACAGGAAAACGAACCACCAACTTATCCAGCATATGTTTTACGCATGCAAATGCCGTTCCAGCTGCAACCTATTACTGGGAAACACCCATGCACTCTCATACTCATACACTACAAAAAAATTAGCTCACCCATGTTTACTCGTAGCACATGTCTTTGGGCTTGTGGGGGAAACCGAAGCACACGGAGAACATGCAAACTCCAGACAGAAATGCAAACTACCCAGCTAGGCTCGAACCAGCGACCTTCTTGCTGTGAGGCGACTGTGCTACCCACTGTACCATCCTGTTTTAGTGCAATTTTTATAAATTTTCATTTTTGACAGATGCAAAATAAAACAGCACAAATTAATTTGCATGCATGAATAAAATGAAACAAAAACTAATTCATAAATGAATTAAAGACTAATTGGAGAACAGTAATTGATGGTTTTATTCAAGCTGAACATACAGACATCAGTTTTAAACAGTACATGTATCTTTATGAAAAATAAAGCAACAATTAATATTCACATTATATTAAAGGTGCAAAGATTGTGATCTCGAAATACACAAAACTAGCTTTTGTTTTTCCCCCCATACCTCGTTAGAATTATTTCAGGACAGTATTGAGCTGCTAAAACATCCTGCCATGTTCAAACACCGACATTAAACACATTTTCAATATGCTTAAGAAAAAACCCTTTACGACAGGACAATAAAACTTTCAGAATTGGAAAAGTAATTACATCAGCTGGTTCTCCAAACCTCTGAGGTCAACTTAACCGAATACTGACCGGACGTGACGTGGAGTTTAGTGTTTTCAAAGGACGCCGCTCTCAGTCAGGAAAGTGCTTGCTTCCAGAATCATGCCTTTAACGTAAACACGTGCTGTATAAAACAGCGTCAGGAAGTCCTGTGTGCTAAAGATGGTGTCGGCCAGAGCGAATCCCAGGGTGGAGGGAATGAAGCCTCGACCGTACTCCACCATCCACGTGCCCGAGCTCCACTGCACTGATGTGGCTTCACCCGCAGAGTGAACGATAGTGTCTCCTGCAGGAGTGAGTCATTAAATCTCAGATCTGAGAAAAGACATCTTAAACTGCGTCACAGAAATGAGTAGAAAGAATTCAGGTCAGTTGGTGAAAAGTGTCCCAACTGACCTGAACTCACCGTGCTCTTTTTGTGAGCCAAGTACATACGTTTGAGTGTGTAACAGAAGAGTAGACAAGCTATGAGACAAACTACCTCAAAGTTTGATTGTTTTGATGGTGCATTCAAGTCACGTCAGATAAATCGTTACCCATTTCAAGTCTGCATGAAATCAAAATTTATAATAGGTGCATCCCAAATCGCATACTTATACACTATTTTACATCATTTCGTAGTAGAAATAGAGTAAGTAGTGCATTCACACTGAAGGTATTTTGATGATTTTAACTTATTAAATAGCCTAATCTTTATATTAAGTTTAATTCTGATTTTAATTAATTACATGAACTTATTCTGATGTGTTTATCGTCATTTCACCTTAAGTGCTTAACCTCAAAGAACCTTGCTTCATAACAGCTGTGGTGTCATGTGACTGATAAATAGGATGCATGATAGAAGGATAAGTTAAATTCTGAGAACTTTCTATCTAGAGGTGTGAACCTATACTGGTTTTACGGTTCGGTAACGATTACGCTACATTCACATGGGGCATCAGCGTCAACGCTTCCCATTCACTTTGAATGGGGGATGTCAGGCGTTGCCGAACTGCATTGTGGATCCGTCGGCACCGCTTCAGAAGCGTTGCTCGCTGCAGAAGTTGGGACTAGCTTAACTTTTCAAGCACCAAAGGAAGCGTCAGCCAATCAGATCGCTGTATGCAAATACACCAGCTCAGACAGTGGCCTATTGCTGACTGAATTTCATTGGCTGACGTTTCTATGATGATCGATTTAGCCCCAACTTCAGACACGTCTTCAGTCAAGCGTTGACGCTGAAGCCCCGTGTGAATGGGGCGTTATCATGCCATCGATTGGTATGCATTGGAATGGTACATTATGTATGTATCACACACATACACAAAAATAGACAGCACCAAACAAATCATTAGGGAGCGATATTGTGAATGGTGTTCCATTGCCCTGAGCCTTGAAAAATTTTATTCACTTGAAATAATAAAAGATGTAATTTATTTGATGCCTCAGACTAATCTTTGAACATGGGAGGACTTAGGAAAAGTACAACACTCAAAAATCTATAAATAATAAGTGCACTTTAAAGGGGACCTATATTATGCCCATTTTTTAAATAATGTGAGATAACATCATCACACTGAAATAAAAGTCTGCAGCAGTTTCCACTATTAGACTGTGCATTTGTTCTAGTTTGTTCTAGTTGAAACAGCTGACCATGTGGGTAACTTTGGAAAGCATATTTGAACATGCTATGTTTGGGAAACATTTATATATTTTCCCAAATACTATCTAGAATGCGAATAGTACACATCTACCATGTTTGTAGTTTCTAATGAACATAATGTTCTATGTGAAGCTGCTTTGACACAGTCTACATAGTAAAAGAGCTATACAAATAAAGATGAATTTAATTGAATTAGTCTAATAAAATAGTATGTGAACTGTGGTGCAGCATTAGTTTGTGGTGTGTATTGATGATGTTTGATGTTCTACCTGGATAGTAAGTCTCGCTTTTAGTCGTCCCCTCTTTCCATTGCCTGAACGTGCCGGAAATTATAGTGTCTGATATTTCTGCCCAGTAACGACCTGCAGAAAATACACATATGCAAAGAGAATTATGAAAAAAATCAGTTGCAAAGAAATGGTTTCTGTGTGGATTTAAACCAATTGACCAATAAATACACAAGGTTAAATAATAAATAATACTTATGTAGTGTTATTAATAATTGTGTAGAATATAGTGTAAATATAATTTATTTATTAATTAGAAAAAAAAGCATGTTCTTCTGTATATTATATTTTAGGTTTATGTCAGGTTTTTTTAAATATTGACATTTATTTGTATCCCAGTTCTTCAACATCAGTTTATTTTATTTCAGTTAAATGCTTAGGCAACATTTCAACATTTATTTCTAATTTGAATTTCTCAGCTTATATTTTAATTTTTTAATTTTATTTCACCAAATACTTGATTTTAGTTTTAATGCTAAAATTACAATAACAACTTCACAATATAGACAATTAGGCCTGTTTTAGGTATTATATTGTATGACTTTATTCCCTTTTTTAATTATTATTATTATTATTTAAAACCTTGACATTTCTTCACTGCACTTATTAAAGAGAAGTTGCTGTTTGAATACAATATAGTTTCAAATCTAAAATATTAAAAAAAAGCTAAACAATAGTAAACTATATAGTAAAACAAATAAAAAAATATATGTGAATCACAACAACACAAATTAATAGTTTGAATAAGTATACGTGTAGTTATACAGATACCCAAACTAATTCAAAATGGAAATACAGTATGCAGATTATGAAACTATTATGACCTGAATGTCCACCGGTGTCCACCGCTGTCCCGAACAGCAGCACATACTCAGTGAGCGAGGCGTGCAGGAGACACATGGAGCCCATCCAGCCACCCGCATTTACAAACACCCACTGCAGGTCCTCGTCAGGAAGGATGTGACCTGGGTACCTCCTGCGCAGCTCCACAACCACCTTAGAGAAGGCCTGCTCATGATCCTGACCTATAAACACAAATTTAGAGCATTCAGACACCAGCTTCTATAGTGCACAGCACATGATATATCAAGATTACCTACTTTTTAAACTTTTGACATTTTGAATGATTATGAATAAAATAAACAAAATGATAATTTTTGAGTTCATACAAATAAATTAAATCAGATTCGGGATGCTCCGTTCAGGATTTTTGCAACCAATACCAGGTACCCATTCCTTGTCACGGTGATCGGCCGATATATTGTACCATTTCGGATGCTTTAAGCATAAAATACTTTTTTCCTCTAAGTATGATACTTAAGTGAAGATCTCTCCTAACCTAAGAGAATAAATTAAAGATGCTGCATATTATCTCTTAAACATTTCTCTTATAGCCATTTAGGAGTGGAGTGTCATGGTCAGAAGCAGCTTTACAGAAAATAGATAAAACAAATAAAAATAGAAATAACCAAACACTGCAAATGATGAAAGAAAGATTCAACATGTCTCAATGAAGAAAAAATTTGCAGTGCATATTTGATGCACAAGTAGTTAAAATGCACACCTATAAATCCATTACTTCTTAACTAAAGGAAACAGGACTTTAAACTACTTTTTGTTGCAATAAGTATATTACAAGAAGATGTATTATTAAATATTCATGTTACATGTTTTATTTATGGAATATTTCCAGCCAGGTTTTAGTGAACTTACAATATTGTCAAAATATGAAGTTCTTTCAAAAACACAGAAGTTCTTTCAGTTCTTATATGTAAAAAGGTGTAAATACAAGCAAGGTTATTCAAATATTTTGTTTATCTCAAAGTAACACAAACGCTTGTGATTGGTTAATGAGATCGGCCAGATCTGCGAGTACAGAGCGAGTCATTAAATGTGATTATTGGCTGATACCGATTTCTGGCCAATCGGAGCATCTCTAGATAGTATAAATAAATAAATACAATAGTTTATTCTATTATTAATTACACTGTTAACTGTAAAAAAAATTTTTTTAGCACAACAGAACACCAACTCAAAGAGTAATAATGAAGTAATAATAAAGACAAATCAACTTTAAATTACGTGAATAAATACACGTTTAAACTTTCATTAGGAACACTGTTAGTTATACTGGGATAACACTTCACAATTTATTTCTGTTTTCATTAGTTTAAGTGCAGCCTTTGTAAGCAGAATAAACTTATTTTAAAATACTAAAACAATCTTACTGATACAAAATATTTGACTAGTAATGTAAACTATATGCCATTTTATTTATTAATATTTTTTACGAAGATGGGGAAAAACAACTGGTAAGCAAATAAAATAAATAAGAACTGTATTATTTTTGTATCAGTAATAAGTAAAATGAAATAAAAAGTAATCAATTAAGGGGTCATACTTTGGTATTATGTTGTGTACGATTCTGGTATGTATACATATTTAATATAATTATAAATCATTTATTTATAATAACTTAATAGTTCCACGTTTTACTTTTTTACTTTAATAACTTTGAATACTTTAATTTAAACTCTACATTTCAATATATATATATATATATATATATATATATATATATATATATATATATATATATATATATATATTTTTTTTTTTTTTTTTTTTTTTTTTTTTTTAAATATTTGATTGTGAAAATAATATTTGTATTGGTATCTATCTGTCTTTCTAAAATTTGCTAAATAGAAACTTTTCACCCACCAGAATCCTAGAAAATAAAGTTTTCCTACAAAGATCACAAGAACTACATTCCGCACTGGTAATAATAAGAACCCTTGTGAACACTGATAGACCATTAAATCACCATATTAAAATAATTTCTGAAGAATCATGTGACACTGCAGACTGGAGTAATGACTTAAAAATGCAGCTTTGATAAGAGGAATAAATGACAGTTTACAATATATTCAAACAGACAACGGTGTTTTAAATGGTGATACTTTATCATAATAATTATGTCTTTACTGTATGTTTTTCTGTGTAGCAGCATTCAAAATGTTAAGCATATTACAACTACTGCTATAGAAACCAATTCCTGCAATGTCCTAGCAACAAATGTAACTTAAGAGGAGAACATTATTGTTTTACTCACCCGCATACTGTTTGGCTAACTTGGCAACCTCTTCTTTCGTAAAGACATATTGTTTATTTGCCATCCAATGTCTTATAAACTGAACGGTCAGCGACAGAAAACCAACAACTACCACCAATTTCAGAATAGTTCTTATTAAAGACATCGCAAGTTGCCCACAAATGACGGTCCACAGTTACAAAAGATTAGAAAACACATTAAACAGACTTCATTCAGACACACAGCATGGCAAACATTAAAGCTGACGGACGCTGACGTGAGGTGACGTAAAATCGGGGGTGACCAATCAGATGACACAACTGACTAGTTGATATCCAATAAAACTGAGCATTGCTCAATCAGGAAGTACGATGGTTGTCGTAATCATCAAAAATGCCATTGAAATACGCAGTTTTCTTGCAGTCTTTGTCGATACAGTGAAACACATCGTATACATTTATGTATATTATGTTTCCACTATTATTAATATATTGGGAACATCTTTAATCTGTTGAAATAGTGTTCGGATTATCATCTTTGTTAGCGACGCATACTGCGTTTTTCTTGCGCAGCGTTGTTTACCTCAGGATACTTAGTGAGGGAGAGCAAATGAAAACTTGAAACTCTAAAAAGAAACAATCAACGAATTCCTGTTTAATGTTTCATAACGAGTGAACAAGTAGATTAAGGACAAGCAGGAATAATTTTATTGTACCAGTACGCAGCAAAATGGACATGAACAATAAACCCACGTTTGATCCTAAAGGTAAGAAACGTTTTAGATATTGACACCTAACGTTAGTTTGGGTATTTTTTTCCAGACTTTTGAACTGCTTGTGATTTACACACCTTCAGATGTAATGCGATTATTTATATTGTTTTAAGCAGCTGCTGTCGTTTGAATCCACAAAAATAGCTGTACTCTAACTAGAGCAGTCACGTGATTCCCGATCATGTGATTTTTTTTACCAGGATTTAACTGATCGTCCGAATCATTTGATGGAACCGATTCGTTCGAACGTGTTATTTTATTTAACTGATTCAGTTGGGTTTCACTCAGGCAGGCATCACTCAGAAAGTATTCACCCAATTTCAAAATAATATTGTTTAATTGTGTTGTTAGCTCAGTGTTTTACAATCGTATGGCAATTATTGTTTACTTTTACTAATTTGGCTGACAGCTTCTTGAAACCTAAATAGTCAGCTAAAATAAAGTGAGCAATTCCTACATCGTGGATGTGGCATTTGCAGTAAAATCTCAAAACACAAATTCAAACAGAAAGTATGTGCTGCTAACATCAGTATATATTCTCCAAAACAACTAACAACAAACTTATGAGATCATAAAAATATCAAATATTAAAAAAAAAAACCCTCAACTGTAAGCAATTTGATAACACTGTAGTTTAAGTCACAAATAATTGAATTCAATTAACACTACTAGCTTAGTAAACTACTAATTAGTAGTTTATTAATAGTTAGTAAGATAGTAGCCTAGTTAGCTTCAGGTTTTTGTCGGATAAGGGATGCTGAATAAGACTTTATAACTAATAATGAACCATCTTAATAATAGACTGTAATAAAGCCAGTAGTTAATGACATAATTATGTAACCTAAACTAAAGTGTTACCTTTTTGGGTTGTGCAGTTTAATTCACAGAATGTCTACAGACTCTGTAGTACAGAGTGTGATGTATGCTGTAAACTTGCTACAGTTTTTTAGTCACATCCATAACACATGTTTATTTTCCTCATTTAAAATTTAAAACATGTTGGTAGGCTAATACTTTAGTTTAGGTCACAATTTATGTCATAACTAGCCTACTAGGCGTACCTTTGTACTAACTATTAATAAACTACTAATTAGTAGTTTACTAAGCTAGTAGTGTTAGTTAATAGTTTAATACTGTGAATTGTGAGCTAAATTGTTACCAGTTTACATTTTTGCATTTATGAGGAAAAAGCTTTGTTATGGATGTAACATCTCTTCGTTATCCTGTGACGTGAAATTGGCACTTGTTTGGCTTTGGTAAATCAGATATAATTATTTAGAAACACTGACAGACATTTTTGAGTATTTTTAAAGTAGCCTACTGTAAAATACAAGAAACTTATAAAAGCATTAGGTTGACATTTGCATGGAATTGCTCTAGTCTGCAAATCGTTTGTTTGTGATTCAGTGCTAGACATTAACAAAGTTGCAAAGCATCACATCTTGATCCTTATTTTCACTTTTAACAATTCAATTAACATTTCCTTTGGTTTTTCATCCTTATTATTAATATCATTATTAATATATGAAAACCACCAATAAATAAGGATGAAATCTGTCAATTAGAAAGACACTGAACATTCAGCTTTATATCACAGAAATAAATTACAATTTAAATCATATTAAAACAGAAAACATTTATTTAAATTATTGTAATTATTCATTCATAATTTTCCATTTGATCCCTTTATTAATCTGGGGAGCTACAGCGGAATAAACCGCCAACTTATCCAGCACGTTTTACACAGCGGATGCCCTTCCAGCTGCAACCCTTCTCTGGGAAACATCCATACATACTAACTCACACACATACACTACGGTCAATTTTAGCATACCCAATATACCTATACCACATGTCTTTGGACTTGTGGGGGAAACCTGAGCACTCGAAATCCATGCGAACACGGAGAGAATATGCAAACTCCACATAGAAACGCCAACTGACCCAGCCGAGGCTCGAACAGGCGACCTTCTTGCTGTGAAGTGAACGTTCTACCCACTGTGCCACCTCATCGCCCCGATTGTAATCATATATCACAATATTACTGTTTTACTCAATTTTTTAAAATTAAATAATTAACAGTATTACTGTAGTGCTATAGAGACCAGTCACTGTGATAACAGCTGTAACAAAAAAGTAGGGCTGCTCGATTTTAGGAAAAATCATGATCACGATTATTTTGGTCATAATTGTAATCACGATTATCAATTAAAGTCAAAATTATTAGCGCTCCTGAGAATTTTTTTTTAAATAAATATTTGCCAAATGATGTTTAACAGAGCGAGGAATTTTAACAGTATTTTTCTATAATATTTTTTCTTCCAGGCTTATGTTTTATTTTAGCTAGAATAAAAGCAGCTTTAAATATTTTGAAACCCATTTTAAGGTCAATATTATTAGCCCCCTCAAGCAATATATTTTGATTGTGTGCAGAAGAAACTACTGTTATACAATGACTTGCCTAATTACTCTAATTAAGCCTTTAAATTGCACTTTAATATGAATGCTTTTATTTTGAAAAATATCTAGTAAAATATTGTGCTGTCATCATGGCAAACATAAAAGAAATCAGTTATTACAAATGAGATATCAAAGCTATGTGTTCAGAAATAAGTAAAAAAAAACTTTTTTCCATTAAACAGAAATTGGGAAGGAAAAAGGTTGCTAATATTCAGGAGGGCTAATAATTCTGACTTCAACTGCATATATACAGTCATTTTCCACCCTGCAAAGGAAAGAGAAATAAATACAATAGAATAAAAATATGAAACAAACTGTGCTTTAAGCATCTTCACTGTAAGAAAAACACTTTAGCTACAAAAATTCTTCAGTCAAGAGCAGTGAGGGATTTTCTCGTTTGGTTTGATTAATGATGAAAACAGGCGGCAGCAGGAATTGCGCGCTGTCACTTTAATGGTTTCTCTTTCACTTGTCTTTTGATTCTCAACTCATTTGTTTATTACACAAATGAGGGTTAATAAGAATAATCACTAAACACTGCATTTTTACACCTATTTGACTATTAAAGCGCTCACGTTAAGATGACTTTAGATTTCTACGCTTCTCTGCTCGTCTCAGTGTGCGAATGAGACCGAATGCTGACCGCCCGCATGCTTCTGACTGTGTGCGTGCCGCACACACACATAAACACGCGGTCTTTCGCGCTTTTAAGAGCAACAAATGTGTACAGCTGGAAGGGGGGCGGCATATGATGCAATAATCGTTTATCGGATTAATGCTTTTTCATAATCGTTTGAAGCCAAAATCGATATGGGATTTTTGATTTATTGCACTGCCCTACAAAAAAGTCAAATCACGTAAAATAACTAGTTCAAAGGTGGTTTGCTTGTGATTCAGTGTCAGAAGAAATTACCATATTGGTTGGCCAAGTTTTGCTTTACTTTTATATTATTTTTATACTACTTCAATTCACACCTTGTTATACAAATTGAAAACTTGTGACTACTTGAAGTTGTTTACATCTTTAAACTGTAAAATATGCTTTTCAATGGAAAACTCATTGATAATTAAATGATATTATTCTTTTATCGTGATCTTCCTTTCAGAACACCAGCATTTAAGGTACAATCCTCTGCGGGACTCATGGGTTTTGGTCTCGGCCCATCGGATGAAGCGTCCATGGAAAGGACAGGTGGAGAAACCGCCAGAGGACAACATCCCACGGCATGATCCAAACAACCCTCTGTGTCCTGGCAGTGTGAGAGCTAATGGAGAGGTAAGCAGCTGGATAACTGCCATGGTGTTATTTTATTATTTTCATATACTGTATACCCTCAATGGCCACTTTATGAGATACTCACTTATAGTACTGTGTTGGACCTCCATTGCCAGCAAAACTGCCTTTGCTCTTTAGATGATTTATTGAAGTGCTGGAAATATTTTTTTTAGATTTTGGCTTATTTACATGACAGTATCACAAAGTTAATGCTGTTTAACGATTAAAGGACAAGATTTTTTCATTAAAATGTTCAAAAACCAGAACCGTGTTATAAATTTAGCTGATTTGTGTATTTACATTCCCCCATATGTATCAAAGATTGTGCAAATCCAGAGAAATACGCAATTTTATCTAGGTTCACAGACTTTGTATTTTGTCACAACGCTAATGTCACACACCCTCGATTTACGGTTTGGTTTTATAGAAATCAGGGAAACACAAAGGATGCTTTAATATTTTGTGCATTTTATTGGACTGCACAGAGTAGCACTATGACAGAAGAACCCTAAAATCTATTTAGTATGATCCATGGGATCATGAACGGAAAAACTGGAATTGGTTGAGTGACATAATAAAAGTAGTTTCTTCAGCATGCTTGCTTTGCTTCAGCGATTTTCAGCCATGCTTGGCTTCATACTCCCTTTATATAAGTATAGAAAACTTTAGCTCATTCACAACCTAAAATTATTTCTTTCCCGTAAGATTTAATGGATGATACTCTTGATTTCATACTCAGTGACAGCGTCATCAAACTACACATTTGTTTGTTGTGAATACGCGCCCTCTAGTGGTGAAAATTTAAAAAACAAATTCAAATTGTAAATACAAACTCTTATGAGCGGTTTATCATAATTAATTATTCAACAGCACTACACACAGTCGATGCAGATTTGTCTGCTGCCGATCCATAATTTGAATCTTTATCTACACCCCATTCCAAGTACTCTATTGGATTGAGAGCTGTTGTTTTCGGAGGCCATTTAGTTTAGTGAACTCACTGCCATGTTCAAGAAATGGTGTATTATCCTGGTGGATGTAGCCCTCAGTGGTAAACGATAGCATAAGGAAATACATAACAGTAGTCAGGTTGACTGTGGCAATTGATTTCAACAACGCTGAGTGTACTAAGTGGCCCAAATTTTGTAAATAAATGGAAGAAAACATCCACACCATTACATCACCATCAAGAGCCTGGACATATAGATTAATGCTGCACCAACCTCTCCAGCAGAAATTGAAAATTCAGGTCAATGAGTACAAATCAATAGATTAAACTTATTATTATATAACAAACTGCTGTCACACTGGTTTGAGAGGGAGATCAGGCACTGAACTAAGGCGAATCAGAAAAGAGGATTAATCAGCTCATTAATATTCATCTCCTTTCCAAATATGGCCAAAACTGAACTTCTGATTCAAGGAGTAAATCCTGTTTTTAGTTGAATATACAACCGTTTATTGTCTAAGCCACGTCCTATGCAATAAACTGTTTTTAATTGAATATACAACAATTTAATGTCTAAGCCACGTCCTATGTAGATGTTAGAGAGCAATTTAACATATTGAATCAATGCATACTAGGGCACCTTTAAATATTTGAAGAGCAAGGAAAACGGCTTCATTTATGGTGCTTCATAGGAATGGGTGGAGCTTTTGATCGCTGTGGAATTGCATGTGTGCTTCGCAGGTAATGTAGGTTTTTGCATGTTTTCTGCTGTGATGCACAATTGTGTAAAAATAGGTTAAATTAACTACATTGACATACAGTCGAAACCAAAATTGTACATAAACTTTAAAAAAAAGGAACATAGCCATTTTTAATAAATCATATTAAAATCATACTACAGTAATCATTTACTATTTTGGGTCCGTTTGGATTACCTAAATGATTTACATTTGCTAAATGCCAGAATAATGAGAGAATTTTTTTTTTTTTAAGAATTTTTAATAATTTTTAGACAGTCAAAAGTTTACATACATTTCCTTGGTATTTTTTTTTTTTAGCTTTGCTTTAAAAACTGTATAACTTTGGTCAATTTTTTTGGGTATCCTTCCATAAGCTTCTCACAATAGTTTGAAGGAATTATGGCCCATTCCTCCAGACAGAACTGGTGTGACTGAGTCAGATGTGTTGGCTGTCTTGCTTGCACAAGCTTTTTTTAACTCTGCCCACAAGTTTTCTATAGGATTGAGGTCAGGGCTTTGTGATGGCCACTCCAAAACATTCACTCTGTTGTTCTTAAAGCGTATTTTAACTAATTTGGCAGTATGCTTAGGGTCATGGTCTGTTGTGAGGACCCATTTGTGGCCAAGTTTAATTTTCTGTCTGATGTCTTGAGATGTTGCTTCAGTATTTCTACATAAAGTTTTTCTTCATGATGCCATCTATGCTGTGAAGTGGACCAGTCCCCCCTGCATCAAAACAGCCCCACAACATGATGCTATCGCCCCCATGCTTCACAGTTGTGATGGTGTTCCTAGGCTTGTAAGCTTTCCCTGTTGTCCTCTAAATGTATCACTGATCACTATGGCCAAATAGTTCAATCTTAGTTCAATCAGACCACCGGAGATGTCTCCAAAAATTATTATTTTTTCCCCAGTATAATTTAGCAAATTGTAATCTAGATTTTTAGTTGATTCTGGCTTGTTGATTTTCCCATGTTGTCACATAAGGAAGCAGTGTGTTTGAGGTTTTTCTTAAATACCATTCTACTGTTGTGCCCCCAATTAACTCAAATGTTGTCAGTTAGCCAATCAAAAACTTCCAAAACCTTGACATCATTTAAGCTTTTTCAGAGGCATAATAATCTTACTGTATGTAAGCTTGACTTTCACGAAAAGTTATAATAATTTCTCCAAAATATTTCCCTCATTACTCACACAAATTTGATAATCCTAACTTACCTAAAAAAGAAAAAGTTTAGTCACATTAACATCTGACTTTAAACGGCTATCTGCCTTTTCATACAGTGTATGTAAACTTCTGGTTTCAACTGTATATATGACTATAAATTAACAAGAAGAATGATTATATTTTTTATTAATTATTTATTATTATCTTTCTAGATATTGTGAAAATCTGAAAATGTCTTACAAATGAACATGCATAAATGCCAGCAGACCCAAACTTTCTGATCCCAAACTCAAGATGAAATGAAAGCTTTTATCTAGTTAAGTTCATCCAGGGACAGGAAATAACCTTTAATTTTCATGCTGTATAACTGCAGAGCCATTTCCAACTCATTCACATCATGCCCTATTCCCATCAAGTATCAAGTTATCAGATTGTTGTAAAACGCTTCATTTATAGGATTTTAAAATTCATGAGCTTGAAGTCATAATCTCTGGGCTCCTCTGGCTCATCCTGGAGCATTACTGGAGTTTTTTTTTTTACGAACACAGATGAAACTGTGGATCTTCTTAGTGGAAAGTGATGCGTCTGCAGTCATTCATTATACAGTCATTTCTGACTAAGCAGAAAGAAACAGCCATTTCCTTCCCTCCAACGTGAGTTACACATCAATGCATATTCAGTGTTTTTATTAGCACTATCTTAACCCTGACTAATGTTCTTGGCTGGCTCTCTCATTCTGGATATTATTATTTAATGATTAATAAAACAAAGAAAGTTGCCAGGCTGCTTTTCATTTAAACAAGATGCTTTTATGAACTCTTTGGCTCTGTTAGGTGTTGTTAGTTGATTCAGATGTACGGTTTGGCTAGAAGTGGTATCTATGTTACCTATTTGATTATTTTAGTCTGTATTTGGCGTATAGATCTTATCATTTATGCCGTCTGTACACTTTAAGCAATGCAGGGTTCCAGAAAGTTCATTCATGTTGCACCAACACAAATCGATAAATCTAACTTAGCAAATTTAAGTGGATTGAACATAAAACAATTATGTGGGTGCAGTATGTAAGTTTGACACCTAGTGGCTGATCTAGGTATTGCACTCCCAGTTTAAAGCGCACACAAGCTCAGGTTGCCAGATTGACAACACCAACAGCAGTGTACCTGACTGTCAAGTCTAAAGGCTGATGTAAGGCTGATTTAAGCCGTGTTCTTAATAAAAGCAACGGTATGCGGTAGAAGGAATATTTTCTATATTAAAAGGAGTTTTTGTTCTAACCAACATCCAAAATGTATATTTTAGAATTTGCTTCTATTTCTTGCAGCTGAACAACAGAAACTGACAATAATCACCTCGGGTACACCTCATATGCTTTGTACAGAGTTAAATGCTAATAATTAGAGTTTGAAAGTTTTACGTAAAATTTATTGCCATACTAAGGAAAGCAGCAGCAGAGAGTTCACCTCAGATCTTGAAAATAAAATAAACCGTTTGAAATTCAAATTGATTAATAGTGTTAAAGTGGTTTAATCTGTATTAATTAGATTATAAACCTTACCATCTTGTTGAAGTGCAGTGAGTGCACTGTTCTCTGCATCTTAATGGCTGTATTTACATTTCTGTCATGTTTCTTCTGGTGCAAACAGCCAATCTACTTATCACGGCAAACATCGTCACGTAGTGGTTTGTTAGTACACAGGGTTACAATGAAACCTGTTCACTTGATGTTTACGTTCATAATATTTATATTCTTTTCTAATTAATAACAACTTCAATATGCTGTTTTCCAACTAGGCAACTCGGGGTGCAGAAATGTAATTGGGTAAACTTCCATTGGGCAGATTAAATGGACCAAAACAAAGACAGCCATTCCAGCACATTTTCAAAGCAGAATATCTAACTTTAGCATTGTTTTTAAGATAAACAAGAATGTTCACCTAGCATGTGTCAAAAACTTACATATGGCACCTTTAAATAAGTAGTTGACAAGCAGCAAAAAATATTTTCTGAGTGTTAAAGCTGCTAAATCATAGAGAGAAGGACTTAATATGCAATACAGGGTGCAACATTTTCACACTGAACTTAATAGGTGGTTTGTACGAGCTTAATTAAGGTTTCACCTACTTGTCTGGAAATTATAAGAACACATACATTTTGTCAATATTCTTGCTTTGAAAAATAAAAAAAAACTTAGTTTGGCCAACTACCAACTCCTTTTGTTCAGACAGTTTTGCTTCTTTGTTTATTAACATTTTTTGTCAGTCTATTTTAGTCAAAATGTTTTTTATTTCTCCAGTTTGAATGATTAGTACAGGCCAAAACATGACAATAGATAATTTCCAGCACCAGTAAACAGCAACATATGTGTTTTGTTTGGTTTCATGGCATTGTTTACATGTTGTGCTTTCAAAATTGCAGACTGAAAATACTGTATTGCTAAATGTCATATTGAGCAGGAATAAACTCGTAGAAAGAGATCTGTAGACTACAGGTTTCATTCGACAGATTGTCATTTTTAAATGCAGGTTACATTGTTCATCTGGTTCTCCTGTTTTATTGCAGCTGAATCCTGAGTATGACAGCACATTCATGTTTGACAATGATTTTCCTGCTCTTCAGCCTGATGCTCCAGACCCCGGTATGAATCAATGCTTCATTCAAGTTACCAAAGTAAGCAAATTTTTTAGTTGTAAACTGAGTATTTGGATTACCAACTAACTACCTACCTAACCGACTGACTGACTGACTGACTGACTGACTTCTAAGTACATTTTTAAAAGTGTATACATTTAGTCCTGTATCACTTGATCAAAAACTTGGATGGCTGAAATTGAGGTAATTATATCGTCACACACTATAGATGATTATTTTATTTTATTTTATTTTATTTTATTTTGTTCTTTAAGTGACAGTAAAGGCATTTGCTGTCCCAAAGCATCTTATTGCTAATACTAAATGTTTCTTGAACAGCAATTTATTATATTACAAAGATTTCTAAAGATGATCATGTGACAATGAAGACTGACACTTCAGGTTTGCTATTACAAAATTAAATAAATAAATAAATAAAATAAATTAAGGTATTATTTACACTGTATTATTTTTGTGTCTGTATTTTTGGCAAATATATGCCATTATGCAATCAGTGAGATAATAGAAGATGGTTAGAATTAGGTATTATTTTTTATATTTTCCAGTTTTGTATTTATTTCATTTGTATTAGCAATTTTTATATATTTAGTAATTGTTTATGGCGAGGCAGTGGCGCAGTAGGTAGTGCTGTCACCTCACAGCAAGAAGGTCGGTGGGTCACTGGTTTGAACCTTGGCTCAGTTGGCGTTTCTGTGTGGAGTTTGCATGTTCTCCCTGCCTTCGCGTGGGTTTCCTCCAGGTGCTCCGGTTTCCCCCACAGTCCAAAGACATGCGGTACAGGTGAATTGGGTAGGCTAAATTGTCCGTAGTGTATGAGTGTGTGTGTGTGGATGTTTCCCAGAGATGGGTTGCGGCTGGAAGGGCATCCGCTGCGTAAAAAACTTGCTGGAAAAGTTGGCGGTTCATTCCGCTGTGGCGATCCCGAATTAATAAAGGGACTAAGCTGACAAGAAAATGAATGAATGAATAGTAATTGTTTAATATTTTAGTAATTGTTATTTAGGTACATTAAGTTAAAATAAATAAGTGTAATTATTTAATTATGTAAATTAATTCCATTGATTTTATTTTAGCTCTAATTGATGTCAAGCATGGTTTTCTGTTATTTTGTTTGTTATTTTTGTATATACTTTTATGATAAAAAAAGAAAAACTAGAGTATATATTACTATAAACAGTGCTCAGCATATATAAGTACACCCCTCGCAAATCTATTCTTTTAAATTTATAATTTAATAGGAAGCTATACAATATTATATTTGTGCATATACATTAGATAAGTCAGTACTGAAGGCAAATTTGGAGCTTCTCTAACAAAATAAGTTATGATAACGATCCAAAAATCTAGTACACCCAAATGTATATGTTATAGAAAAATATTAAATACAAATAAAAAAAAAAAAAAGAGGAAGAATCAAGAGAAGCAAAAAAATTGGAAAATATTTGTTAAAATTATGTAAGTTGTAATTTGTTTTCTTTTTTTGCAATATTTACTTGAATTTGATTGTATTTTTTTAAATTTATAAATATGCTTAGTGACTAAAATATAAATTTAATAAATATATCTACTTAATAAATGTGTTCTGTTTAATACAAAACAGCACAAAATATACTTTGCCTATGTTCACTAAGAAATGGATAAAAATATAAATTTTTAAAATGTGGTGTACTCAATAATGCTGAGGACTGTACATTACTGAATTATGTCATTTAATATAATTTATTTATTTTAGCTAGTAAGCGCATGAATTTCTATTATATTGTACTTTAAAGTTAATTAAAATTTTATTCAACTTTTTTCATTTTATTCGATATATTTTTAAACAGTAGAAGTGTATATTAAAGCATCTGATACATTCTCTCCATTATACCTTTTCTTCATAAAGTTTTTTGAACTTATTATAAAAGTAGAGAGTTAATGTTCCTGCAGCAGAGTTCAATTGTACAACTTTTAATGTGCAATTATGTGCTGTGTTTTAATGAAGCAGTTCATTTCAATGTTTTAACAGTTTGCTGATGATTTTATTACTGGCTCCAGGTTCGGATCATCACCCTCTTTTCCAGAGCAAAGCAGCCAGAGGCGTTTGGTGAGAAAGGCTTTATTTCTTCTTCCAAAGAGCAAAATGTACAGTACTAATTAATACTGCTGGCATCAAGTTATACATCATTCACAACAAAACCCTGACGTTTAATATTCAGCTGAGGCTAAACTCTTCTTGCAGACTGTTCAGAAGTACTTTTCGAAGAGATTTCTGAGGCAATGGATTGCACATGGTCCATGGAAAAAATAGGGCAAAAAATACTGTAAATAATTGTATACATTTAATACTACTACTACTACTATTACTACTAATAATACATAACTCTTTCCAGAATTGCAGGTACATTTCTATAAAATGGAATGATATACAACAAATATAAAATTTACAGTAACAATGTACAGAATACATTATTAATATAAACTGTTTACATCACTAACCGAGTTGAGGGGTGAGGATAACTTAATTGTTTTATGTTCAGTCCACTTACATTTGTAAAAACAACTTAAAGCTGCTAGTTGACCAGAACGTAGAGACAGAAACAAAATGTGTTTTTTCATATTATTGCAAATTACAAAAAATACAGAAAAGAGATGTTTCTTACAAATGTTTATTTAGCTTAGTAGAGTAAATATAAAATTTATATATATATATATATATATATATATATATATATATATATTAATTTTTAATATTTACTCTACTAAGCTAAATAAACATTCATATTAATTGAAGCTGAATGTATGATTCAGGAGCCGGAGATAGTCAGAAATAGCAGTGGAAGCCTTTAATTGAACATTTTCAAGACAAAATAGCCCTTAATACACATGCAAAAACTATAATTAAAAGTTTTGTGGTTGCACAATGGTGCGGTGGGTAGCACGTTCGCCTCACAGCAAGAAGGTCACTGGTTCAAGCCTTGGCTGGGTCAGTTGGCATTTCTGTGTGAAGTGCATGTACTCTCTGCGTTCGCGTCGGTTACCTCCGGGTGCTCCGTTTTTCCCCACAGTCCAAAGACTGTGGTATAGGTGAATTGGGTAGGCTAAATTGTCCGTAGTGTATGAGTGTGAATGAGTGTGTATGGATGTTTCCCAGTGATGGGTTGCTGCTGAAAGGGTATCTGTTTTTAAAACATATGCTGGATAAGTTGGTGGTTTGTTCCGCTGTGGCGACCCCAGGTTAATAAAGGGACTAAGTCAAAAAGAGAATGAATGATGACGTTTTGGTTTTTGAGGTTTATCTTTCCTCCCACATTCACATTCATATGATGCAGTACAAATAAAAAACTTATTTGTTACTTTCATATTTCCTAATATTCATCAACCACAAACATATCAATGATCAAATTTGGCAATCCATTAACATAATATATGATGAAACTCAAAGTTAAGTCCAAGCAATAGCATGGTTGGTAAAGTCTCTATATGCTTCCCTTCCTCTTTAATATTGTTTTCTTCTTTTAGCTCAGTTCTTGTATCTCGTGGCCTTCTGGAACAGTGTTAATAAACTATTTCCCTGTGTTTAATGGTGCTGTTTGTAGAAATCAATTGTGCTGCCATGAACTCTCTGAGTCTCTTCGGGAGAGAGTTAAAGAACGGAAAGAAGAAACTCGCTGATTTTATCGTCTGTGAGAAAACGCATTAGAGATTCAGTGAGATCTGTACTCTACCTGTGTCTTGCTTGGTACATAATTACTGTATTATGTGAGTCATTGATGAAATGAATCATTGTGCTTTTGGTTTGTGTTTAATATGACTATTTGCAGATCTGGACTACCATAACATTGTTTGAAAATTAACAGGTATAATTAACTAGTTATAATTATAAATTAACTAGTATATATATATATATATATATTATTAAATATATTTAATATATTAAATCTTAATTAATTAAAGCAAAACAAGAAACAATAAAATGAGGTTACTCAAATGACTATTTTTTACTAAATCTAAAATTAAACTAATAAAAAAAACATAAATATAAAAAATTTGAAATCAATTAAATATAATAACAACAACTACTACAGTTATTAATTATTAATAATATTAATCATCTCTAATATTGATAATAGTTAACAACAACAACGATAATAATAATAATAATAATAATAATAATAATAACAATAATAATTATTATTATTATATTATTATTATTATTAAATATATTAATACAACTAATAAACAAATCACATTAAAGTAATTTGAAAACACTATTGACATAGTTTACAAAAACAAATATTGGCCTGGATGATTTATTTTCAATGCCTTGAAAATGTATTTTCATTCATTCATTCATTCATTCATTCATTCATTCATTCATTCATTCATTCATTCATTCATTCATTCATTTTCATTCATTCATCTTTTTCGGCTTAGTCCCTTTATTAATCTGGAGTCGCCACAGCAGAATGAAGCGTCAACTTATCCAGCACATGTTTTACGCAGGGGATGCCCTTCCAGCTGCAACCCATCACTGGAAAAAAATTCTTATTTTATTTAAATACATTTTTTCTTTTTCAAAAGCAAAAATATGCCATATCAGGTAAGGAACAGGCCTACTTTTAAGTAGTCACGAGAGGAATCATTTTTATAAATTTTTTGTCATTTTTTTAGGATTTAGAATCCTGTTTGGTCATATTTTGTCATTAAAGGATCACTAGGTGGTGCTATCTCCAAACAAGTGAATGAAGACCAGTCTGTAAAACATCATTTATCCTTTTTTATGAAGTTATATTGTCTAGAAATATACCTTTGCAGTATCAGATGAGCTCCAGTGCGATCGGTTTCATCTCTTGTACTAATATAATATAATATAATATAATATAATATAATATAATATAATATAATATAATATAATATAATATAATATAATATAATATAATGCAATATAATATAATATAATATAATATAATATAATATAATATAATATAATATAATATAATATAATATGTCTCATTTAAAGGCAAATTGTAATAAAATAAATATTAAAATATAAAAAATAAATAATCTAAATTACAATTATTTTACAAGTAAACATTGGTCCATATGATTTACTTTAACAGTTTGAAATTGAATAAATTAAATAATATAATAAACATGTATTAGGAATACCTAATATCTAAGCAGAAAAGAAAATGAATGAATGAATGAATGATAATATAATTTAATATGCAAATAGTAACATATTTAAATAATTTATATAAATTCAAATTATTTTAGAAAGACCCATATGATTTGCTTTAACAATATGAAAATATGATATGATTACAACATAACAATTATTTAATTTAATTATAACTAGTGTACTTTAACTTAAAACAACTAAAGTTGACCAAAAATAAACAAACAGCAATAAGATTAAGATGGAACATGGTCAGAAATAAAAGCGACTAACATAAAAGAACGCATTAACCAAAAGAGAAAGCATTACAAATAATGAACGTAAGCCAGATCAAATAGAAATTATTTGAATTGAGATTTAAAAAGGCATATTGTTGTAGCAGTTTTCATTTCCACAGGAAGACTGTTACATAATTTTGGAACAGCTATGGTAAAATAAATAAATAAATAAATACAGCAAAATAAGTGTAAAAACAAAATAAATATAATTAAATAAAAAATATATAAAAAAATAAATAAAACAAATACAATTAAATAAAAAATCTAATAGATACATTACAATAAAATTAAAAGTCTAATAAATACAATTAAAAACTAAAATAATAAATACAATAACATAAAATAAACTAAATAAATACAATTAAATAAGTAATAAAAAATAATATCAATAAAATAATAAATACAATTTAAAATAAAATTAATAAATAAAAGTGCCCTAGGTGGTGCTATCACCAAACAAGTGAAGGAGTCACATTTTGTGAGAAAGACTCCTTTGGATTATCAACTGCCCTGTATTTCCTTGATCCCCAGAGCTTTCAGTTCCATCTCCTCCACTCTGGACCATTTTCGGCAGTAATTCTGAAGGCAGATGTAAACGTCACTGTCCTGAAACAATACCTATGTGTGCAAACATCCAATTAGCAGCGGAGTCCACAAACACACAGATCTGCCAAGTGCCGCTCGGCTCTAATGCACTGGGATCTGACATTGTTTTCAGAGTAGTAAGAATAGCGCTCGAGGCACAAACAAGTCAAGGACGCCTAATAGAGAGAACTGGATGCCCCACATAAAGCCTGAAAGAGAGACTTTGGAAAGTTTGCAGGCGCAGCTGTTGGGTTTCATTCAGGGCTGAGACCGAAGAACGTGATGTGTTTATTCATAACACTGCTGAGAGAATTGTTGTTGAAGGTGATGTGCTACTTGTCCAATACAAACTTGACTTAAATCAAGACTTCAGAAAGGATCGATAGACAGACAAACCAATAACAGTATAGATGAATGAATAGATGAATGATATGCAGAAACACAATAGACAGACATATGGAAAAATGTACAAACAGAGATAGACAAATATACCAACATATGTATAATTAGGTGGATGGATGGTTAGATAGATAGATAGATATGTAGATAGATGGATAGATAGATAGATAGATAGATAGATAGATAGATAGATAGATAGATAGATAGATAGATAGATAGATAGATAGATAGATGGATAGATAGATAGATGGATAGATAGATAGATAGATAGATAGATAGATAGATAGATAGATAGATAGATAGATAGATAGATAGATAGATAGATAGATAGATAGATAGATAGATAGATAGATAGATAGAAAGATAGAAAGAAAGAGATACATGATAGAAAGATTTTATAATAATTATCATTGCTGCAAATACATTGTATATTAATTAACATTGCTTCAAATGCAAATGCAAAATACAAATTTTTATCTGTTGTACCTGAACAGATGGTAAAATTGACCCCTTAAAAACAATATAAAAATTATACAAGGAACAAATCAAATAAAAGAGCACTAAAACTTACATATGCAAATCCTATTAAGTATATTGCGCGTAGACAAAACAAAACTAGAATTGTTGTGTAAAGCATCCATGTGGATGGATGGTTCAATGGATGCATAAATGGATGGATGGATGGATGAATAAAATCAAGCATGGATGGATGGACGGATGGATGGATAAAATGATGCATGCATGGATGGATGGATATATGGATGGACGGATGTATGTATGAATGAACATATGATGGATGCATAAAGGTATGGATGGATAAATTAATGCAAATAGATAGATGTATGGATATCAATATGGATGGTTGGATACATGTATGTATGGATGGACCCATAAATGTGTAGATGGATGCATGGATGAATGGATAAATGGATTCAAATGATGGATGATGGATGAAAGGATGGATGGACAAGGATGGATAGATGGATGGATGCATACATTGATATATGAACAAATGAATGCAGATAGATGGATGCATGCATGAATATTTAGATGGATGTTTGGATGGACAGATGATGGATACATGCATAAATGTATGCATGTATGTATGGATAAATGAATGCAGATAGATGGATGCATGGATGAATAGATAAATAGTTAGATGGATGGATGGATCAAGAAAAGGTGCACAGATGGATAGATGGATGAATGCATAAATAGTTGGATGTATAAATTAATGCATATGGATGGATGGATGGATATAGTTGGATGGACAGATTGATTAATTGATGATTGCTTGAATGGATGCATAGGTTGATGCATGCATTTAGGATTGAGTAGAGGAATGATGGATGCATGGATGGATGCATAGATTAATGGATGGATACATAAAGGGAAAGATGGATGGATCGATGGATGCTTAAGTGGATGGATGAATGAATTGATGGATGGATGGATGAATGTATGGAAATAAATGGCTGCATGAATGCATAGATAGTTAGATGGATGGACAGATATATGGAAAGATGGACAGATGATGCATACTTGGATAAATGTTTGGTTAAATGGATGCAGATAGAATAATGAATTAATGGATGGATAGATTGATGTATGTGAAATCAGATAGTTGAATACATATTTGGAATGATGGATGGACAGATGATGGATGAATGCATAAATGTATGTATGTATGGATGGATAAATAAATGTAGATAGGTAGATGTATGGATTGATAGATGAATGGTTGAATGGACAAATGGACAGATGGATAGATGAATGGATGCATAATGAATTAATGGATTATTGGATGCATGCCTATTTGGATTAATTCATAAATGGATGGATTGATATATGGATAAATCAATGGATTTTAGCAAAAGTTTAACCCAAATGTTGTTCTGCTGTTTGTTTTCAGTAAGGTCATGTGTTTCCACCCCTGGTCTGACATCACCCTCCCCCTGATGCAGCCTGCAGAGATCCGCAAAGTGATTGACAAGTGGGCAGATCTGACCGTAGAGCTCGGTGCTACATATGCATGGGTTCAGGTTAGTACATCTCATTCTTTCACTTCTGTTCTGATGCACCTGTTACTTTGCATTGACACAGAAAACACGTTATTCTGCACTAAAAACAGCTTTTGAGACACACGACTCATCTTAAAATGTGAGACTTTCTCTTTTTCTCACTGCGACTCTCTCTCTCTGGGTTTATAGCAACTTAATGAAACATTTGCACCATTTGTTGCCACAAGAAACACCCCCTGTAGAAGCACCAGAGTCACAGGGATGAGATTGCATAAGAGAGTGTGTATTTAAAAGAGTCAGAGGCAGGGACACCGCTCGATTGGGTTCTGTCCCAGTCTTCCTCATCAGCACTAATTGGATCAATTAAGAGCTGCTCTTCAGTCAGGCCGTCTCTGTGCTGATCAATGGTGGGCAACGTGGAGCGCTCCTCTGGCCTCTCTGGACACATTAGTGCTCCTGCAAGGGAATAATGGAGCACTTCAAAGGGTTGCAGGGATATGAATGTAGTGAATTAAGATGTTTGTGCCAAAAGACAGTTAACTTATGAGCGTGAGAGAGTTCCTTTGCCTCTGTGGCTTTTTTTCTACATACTATAGATTTAGTTTAACGAAGGAATTCTGCTTAGAGGTACCAAATCCTCACTCTTTTATCATTTTATATTTTTCTCTGAAGTCAGCTTATAATATATTTCTTGTGCCAAAAACAGCAATAACTTAGTTCTATATGACTTTTTATTGCTGTTCCTCAACAAATTCTGTGGATAAATGGCATCTATAGGGATTGGCTAAGCATCAAATATGGACTCTGTTCACTATTTTTTCCATACATAATTAAAAGAGGACACCCATTGACTACAAAGCACTACACGAAATACAGTAGTCGATACCAGATAATGCTGGAAAAGTTTATTCATACAGAGTGCATAAATTACAATTACAACAAAATTTAAATAACTTCTAACAGTGGAGAATAAGTATTCATTGGATTTACTTATTTTTTTAAGGTAAGTGGCTGCAAACAATTTATATGAGCTTATTTTTAACAAATTAAGTTTAATGTTACTAAATTTACCTTGCTTGTTTAAATTCACATGGAGATCAAAGACAGTACCTCTGGACTGGTCAACTGGGGTGGTGTTTTTTCCATTTATAAGATGGGGGACCAGAGGATGTGCTCCAATTGTAGGGGTATCACAGTCCTCAGCCTCCCGGTAAAGTCTAGTCTAAGCCAGGGTACTGGAGAGGAGGATCTGGCCAACAGTTGAACCTAGGACCCAATAGGAACAAAGCGGTCTGGTTCGGGGACCACAGGATTTCATCTCTGTTAATCGCAGATGATGTTGTTTTGTTGGCTTCCTTGAACATGGACCTTCAGCATGCACTGGGGCAGTTTGCTGCCGAGTGTGACACAGCTGGGATGAGAATCAGCACCTCCAACTACTTTTACCTATGGTCACGAGCTTTGGGTCATGACCGAAAGGACAATATCTCCGATACAAAAATTAGTTACCTTCGCAGAATGGCCTTTTGAAAAGGGTGAGGAGCTCTGTTACCCGGGAGATGCCTAGGGAGGTGTTCCAGGCATGTCCCATTAGGAGGAGGCCTCGGGGAAGACCCAGGACAAGCTGGAGGGACTATGTCTCTCTGCTGACTTGGGAATGCCTCTGGATCCCCTGGAGAAGCTGGAGGAAGTGTCTGGGGTGAGGGAAGTCTGGGGTTCTCTCCTAAGACTGCTGCCCCTGCGACCTGGCCTTGGAAAAGTGGTAGAAAATAAATGAATGAATGTTTAAATTCAACCCATATCGATTATTTTTGGCAACCACTTACCTTAAAAAAGTAAACCAAATGAATATATATATATAATATATATATTCCCTTTTAAACTCATCTGAATCAGCTAAACAAGGTATTTAGGATTTCTAGGTAAGCTCTAGGTCAGAGATGCCCAAACTAGGGCAACAGTGCTCGTGATTTATAATTTTAAGTAACTTTTTGTTTGTTTGTTTAATTTTTGAGACACAAAGAAGCAAATAAAATGAAATGATTCAATTAAATGTTGTGCTTGAATAATTCATCTATTCATTAATTCATTCATTTTCTTTTTGGCTTAGTCCCTTTATTAATTTGGGGTCGCCACAGCGGACTGAACCGCCAACTTATCCAGCATATGTTTTACGCAGCGGATGCCCATCCAGCTGCAACCCATTTCTGGGGAACATCCATACACACTCATTCACACTCATACACTACGGACAATTTAGCCTACCCAATTCACCCATACGGCAAGTCTTTGGACTGTGGGGAAAACCGGAGCACCCGGAGGAAACCCAAGAGAACGCAGGGAGAACATGCAAACTCCACACAGAAACATCAACTGACCCAGCCAAGGCTTGAACCAGTGACCTTCTTGCTGTGAGGCAACAACACTACTAGCTGTGCCACTGCGTTGCCTGTGCATGAATTAAATTTAAAAAAATTAATTAAACATCCTCGATAAGCAAATCAAGGGTATTCAATGTATTCAGCATTGATATAATTGTATTATAAAGGGGATTGTTTTTCTTTTATTGTGAGAAGTCCGTTATAAAATGTACAAAATTATTATTAATGCGATTACAGGATTTATTTCAATTTGTTTTTAAATATTAATAAATTATGATATTACCATCAAAATATTAATGTAATACTTTAGTTTGTTTGACTTAAACCCACCACCTTCAATTAAGTTTGGATTTTTGTCCTTCATAAGAAAAAGTTTTGCCACCCCTGCTATTGGTCAAAGCATTGTGCTTTTAGGCAGAAGTATGCAGGTTCAAATCTCTCAAAGGCTGATATCACGGCTGAATCAAATGCAATCGTCCAGATTTAAATGGTGCACCTGGTGTGAACTTGCATTATTGTAGTGCGCACTTGCTTCTTTAGGTACACTTAAATATAGGTTTTATGAAAATGTATAAAAGCTTGTGTCAGCTTTGTACCTAAATTGGCCCCTAAAACTTTTAGGGTTCACACTGTTACTCTTAAATGAACTACTAAAATGCCTATTTTGAGGGTAGATATGGTATAAAGCTGTCCCCATGAGGGCACTGCAACAGGGACAAGCTGTTGTGCCTCTAAATGTAATCTGTTTACACAATTCTTTGTACATATTCCTGCTGTGTTTATCTGACACCCTAATTATACACATCAAACAACCTAATTAAGGATCGTAGAAACTTCTCTCTTAAAGTTTGCATGAATCAGAAGTTGCCGAGACTTTTATTTTAGTATGTTGATGTACTTCCAACCGAAAATAAATATTGAGTGGGGGCGGGGCTTTCATTTGCGCATCAAATTTCTCATAGCAAACTAACAGTAAAAAGGGGCATGATTAAGAATATAGAAACTTTCCACATTTCCGTGTTTCAAGTAGTGGAAGTCGTCTTAGTTGGGTAAACTGGATAAAATAGTAGAACAAATATAATCTCATTTGCTGAAATAATAAAAGAAAAACTCCACGATGGTGTTATCAAGACTTTCAGAAAAAGGAAAAAAAAAAATGTGTGGGACTAATATAGAAGCCAGAAGAGAAAACAACATGAAATTTACTGTCCTGTCTACAGACGCATCATTAGAAACACCTTGCTCAAACGGGAATTAATTTTTTGTTTTATTTGCTGCAAAGATGATAAAATACATATGTAAACACAATGGAAAAAAAAATTAAAATAGTAAAAATGTTCAAGGATTTATGATTATGATGACCGTTAAAAGCAATATAGGCTCATTCTGAAAATGTAGCCCTATATACATTTCTGGAGATCATGAATTATGTAGCCAGAGCTACGTATGGTTGCATTTCATCTTTTTAAATGAACGCTACAGTGCGGTATGATGTTGTTACGCCTTACCTCATGTAGATGGCTTTTCCCCTGTTACCAGTTTGTATCTCTCTGGTGGATTTATGTGAGAACAGCAGGTACGAATGGCGCTCACAAGATAAATTTGAGATCTGAAAAAAAGTACACAGCAGCCTCTGGTGGATTCGCAAAAACAGCCAATAAAAAAAAAAAAAACGTACCTCCTCGGATGTATTTGGCGCTCTCCAAAATGTATATAGGGGTACGTATTCAGAATGAGCCTGGGTTGGTTAAAGGTGTCATAACAGTATTTTTAAAAGGGTCCAATGTGGCTGAAGTCGTCAAACATCAACAGAATAGCAGCCCCTCCAAACGTGCAGCAAATGGTCAGACTTTATTTGAAGATTACCCCAAAATCAACAGCAACAACAAAAATCTGTTACTTGCATAGATTAATTGTTCACATAGAATAACAATGTGTGCTAGCAAAATAAACCTTTAAAGGGTTCTCTCACAGCTTTTTTCCACTGCATTATTTATTTTTATTTTATTTTTTGCATAAGAAGGTTGCTGGTTCGTGTCCCGGCTGAGCCAGTCGGCGTTTTGTGTTTGCAGGTTTTTCTAATGTTCGTGTGGGTTTCCTCCAGGTGCTCCGGTTTCTCCTAAAGTCCAAATACATGTTTTATAGGTGAATTTAATAAACTAAATTGGCCATGGTGTATGACAGTGTGTGTGAAAGTGAGTGTGTATGAATGTTTTCCAGTACTGGGTTGCAGCTGGAAGGGCATCCACTGTGTAAAACGTGCTGGATAAGTTGGTGGTTCACTCTGCTGTGACGACCCTTGATGAATAAAGGACCAATGAAGGAAAATGAATGAATAAAGTTTGATCTGATTTTGAAGATTTGAAACCCAAATAAAACACATTAAACAGCTAATCAAGGTGTTCAGCATCAATAGGAACTTCCAGGTAACTTTGTTGTAGCTATTAAAACACTGTAGAGAAATGGCCTACCAGGTTCAGGATTTGACATCCCAGTCACAGAGCGGTGTCATTTAAAACAAAGTGAACTGAAGCAGTTTTAATTGAACTATTTGAAATAGTATGGCTTTTACTCTATTCTTCATCTATGTTAAGAAGCTTTGACACATCTACATTGTAAAAATGCACTATAGAAATAAAGATGAATGGATATGAATACATAGTCCAGTTAGTCACCTTCAGTGATTTTGCATTGCTAGCATTAGTATAAACAGCATAGGAAGCAGCATAAAAAAGCAGCTCTTCGATGTAGATGTGAGGTTTTGTCCAGTCCAACTGGGTTTTCAAAAATGCTTTTTGTATTGAATAAATCCTTCACTATGAAATTTCACTGGTCCCAATTCCAGTGCTACACAACTGCATATTAAACATCAAATGTAAAATGACTGGCTGTGATTGTGTTGCTCTACATGTAAGAAGTTATTTGTTAATGGTGTTTTTAACACCATTTGAATTTGTTTTCTCACAGAGATCACATCAATTATGGAACATTACTGTTAGGTTTAGGTTGGTTTAAAGATTGACTTGTATATGTCATTGTCAAAAAAAAAAAAAAAAAAAAGCACTTGAAATAAAAGATATCTCATTATTTTAGGCAACAGCATAGTTCAGCATACTGGGACATTTCTGCTTGTCCTGCAGCTCGTCCCACTAGAGTTTCTCAGTTAACAGCGGTGGTTATCTGCTCTCTGTTAAACACATCAGAGGATGTGTTTGGCCTCATCTTTGCGATTTACAGACCCTGAAGAGCGGCGACTTTAACCGAGTCAATATTTATCAACTAGAGTAGTCAAGGGCAGATCCTGCTTAAATCCTTTTATATCGCCCTTGAGGGAGGTGCCAGGAAGTCTTAAAACTCCCCTCTACAGGATGTTTCCTTTAAAACAGCAACATGTGCTCTGATCTCTTCATGTCTCAATAACAGAGTGCATGTTTTGTCTGCACCTGTGTGTGTTTTGGGTTGTTTCTGTATGCTTGTATACAGTTGCTGTGGCTTGTTATGTCTGGGTTATTTGACAGTAATGTCTTTTTTTCTCTCTTGTGTTTCAGATCTTTGAGAATAAAGGAGCCATGATGGGCTGTTCAAACCCTCATCCTCACTGTCAGGTACGCCGTCACCTTTTTACTTCACTGATTTGCCCTCCTCCTTCCAATTAGCGTTTGGCCCTGTCGACTCACAGAGGCAGGGAGAATGCTATTCTGTGGATTAAGAGCTATCCGCTGCAGTCTTCGACCATCTGGAAAGCTCTTTTTTAGGTTGAAATGGGTCTTTCACTGTCACCTCTGTGAAGAGACTGCTGACGAGACAAGGCTAATGCAAGCAGGAGCTTAAAAAACCTCCAATTAGGGAACTAGTGAGATATTGTAGGAGAATACGTCACCAAAATCGTCTTTTCGCTAGAAAATTATTCAGTCTTCAAGTTGAGCAGGCTTGTCTTATGGGGATTCTGGGATTTCTTTTTAAAAAGGAGGTTGCTGGGATGGCAGTGGGGTGGAAAACGGCAATGCTTTTATCAGTGTGATGCCGTTCTGTGTAGATGATGTGCTTTATTGACGTCTTCATGTTTCTGCTCTGACTCGGAGCGGCGAGGAACGTCTGTTTCCTCTCGTTTTACTTTTTCAGACCGTCTGTCTTAGCCTCGTTTCTTCTGAGCGCTGGAAGTCTGTCACTGTCGTGCCGTGACAGCACAGCAAGCCAGATTCGCTGGGTCGGCTCACACTGAGCTCAATCTCACGGAATTCATCAAGGCTTCATGTGCTCCACTAGGGGGCAGTGGAGTATTTTCAGATTCTTTCACATGAAATGCCTTTTTTTTTAAAGAAGCTGTCACAAACCACTCAGATTTGCCCTGTAATGCTGTCTTTGTAATAAACCACACTTGAAGAATGTAGGTTTAATGCACAGGCCATAGATTTATTGCCTCATTAAATGTAAGCTTTGATGCCAAAGTAGTGCACGGTGTGCTAACTTGTTAGGTTGTGATTGATATAGTTTATTTGGCTGGACAAAGTGAACTTGTTCAGAGGTTGAAAGAAATGCAGTTCGGTGCAAGTGTTTTATTTGGTTTGACAATAGCCACTATTGCCAGCTCAAGTCGACATCGATTTTTACATTTTAAACATTTGAAATAGAGTGTAAAACCATATTATTTTTACTTTCATTCATTTTGTTTTCGACTTAGTTCCTTTATTTTTTTCTTAAAAGGTTTTTAAATATGTTAATTATATAATAAAAGTTAAACATTTAAAATCGGCCACTTAGATTAAACAAGAAAATGTAGAGAAACGGAGAGAGAGAGAGAGAGAGAGAGAGATAGGTAGAAAGAAAGAGAGAACCCTCAAAAATGATGTTTGCTGCTTCAAACTATTTATTTAAAAATAGCTGTGCAATTCTTAAGTTTTTTTTTTTTTTTTTGCGACGACTTGTTTTATGTTCAATCCACTTAACTTTATAAAAACTAATACATTTACTTAGTTCCTTCATGTTGAGCCAACACAAATTGATTGCATGGAACCCAGCTTTTTTACACACACACACAGAGAGAGAGAGAGAGAGAGCGAGAACGAGAGAGATCTGTTTCTTTATATTTCATATAGTTGCAGATAATCTAATAAATAAATACTAAAATGCATGTTCTGTCTGGGTGCTTCGGTTTCCCCCAAAGACATGTGCTATAGGTGAATTTAATAAGCTAAAATGACTGTAATGTATATGTGTGAATGCAGGAGTGTATGGGTGTTTCAGTGTTTAGTTGTGGCTTAAAGGGCATACGCTGCATAAAACATATGCTGGATAAGTTGGTGGTTCATTTCGCTGTGACTATCCCTGATTAATAATGGGACTAAGCCAAAAAGAAAATAAATAAATGAATGAATAAATAATAAAAGCAGTAAAATATTAATGCTACAATAAAAACTAAAAATTTAATTAAAATAAAATAATATCTGTAGAACTCACTAAACTTGTCACGATCACCAGCAATCCAGGCTTACAGATCGCTGGTAAACACGCACCTTCACCCAGACTACAATTCTCAGGTCAACCATGGCTTGTTTTTATATGTATATATGATTAAGATGTAATGTTTTGGCTGTGTTTTGGAGCTTCATGTGGAGCTTCCTTTGTTTTTATTCTCCTGGCTAGTTCATGTGCTAGTGATGTTTGTCTGTAAACCAGTAAAGCTCAGCCACGGATCTCGCTTCACCTTTTGGTACCCTTTTGTTATGCTAGATCTCCTTTGAAAAAAGTACCCAAAAATTGGTACAGTACAGTTTGCTTTTTGGTTTCTTTTGACAGTGGAAATGGCCATCAAAGCATACTGAACAGTACCGTACCACTCAGTTGAAATAGGCCATTTATGAACTACGTATTCCATCATCCACCTTACACACCTGTTCCAGAATCACTGTTGATTACACACACACAGCTGGCAGCTGATCTAAGACTGATTACATAGACTATATAGACCACTCACAATAGCCCCTTTCACACATACAGACCTTTCTGGAAAATTAACGGCAATTTTCCGGTAACGGTATTTTCCTTTTTGAAAATACCGTTAAATTCGTTCTGGCTATTTTCCGGAAAGAGAAGTTGTAACATTACCGGTAATTTGCCGGAATGCTGCATTGTGTGAATGCAGAAGGAAGATTGCTGGAAAGAGCGTGTGCACATCTAGAACGTGCTGACGTGAGACGTCTACTTTAGCCAATCAGAACATTCAGACATATTCACATCCGCGCAGTTTATGAGAATAAAAGCCTTTGAATATTTTTCCAGTCACATTTAGCTGCTGGATGTTAGTCAGATAACGTTTATATGTTCATCTTCCTTTCTTCAGTTGCTTTGAGCGTCTTATCGTGTGTGTCCAAGAAACAGCTGGTGTACATGTACATCTTGACAAGCGAAAGTGTTTCTATATGTTATCATCGAAGTTGTTCACAATACTGATCCATCCACAAAGGTTGTAATGTAGTCAAATGTTTACAAATACAAGCGCAGCCATCTAGAGCTCATTTCTGGTTAATGATTACAGAATTTACCGGTATTTTGGAATGGATGTGTGAATGGTCTTTTCTGGAAAAATTCTGTCCTCGCTTGTGTGAACAGCACGTTTTGGAATTAACCGTTAAAGTCGTTCCGTAAATTTTCTGGATATTTACCAGTATCACTGTGTGAAAGGGGCTATTGACACACACATTGCTGAGTCTTGTCGATTAAACCCTGTAGCATTACGAAGCGTTCTTCTAGTTTAGGCTTTCTGCCTTTGACCCTTGTCTTGTTCACCTGTTTACCTTGTCTGCCGCCTGTATCAACCATTTGCCTTTGGCTTGACGATTATTTACGAATTTCCCTGTATGTACCCGTTTGCTCCTGCCTATCTGACATTTCTAAAGAAAGCTGCATGTGAATTCTCACTCCATTTTCAACCGACACCCCTGTGGATACAAAATAGATAACACTAAAAATACGGATTTAAAACAAAAATGCTGCAGCACACATCTGAAATGGGGCTAAAATTAAATAAAATAAAAATAGCTCACAAATCTAAAGCTTAAACCATAATAATCTCTGCACATCAAATTGAGATAGACCTTTTTCTTGGCTGGTGCATGAAGGACGCCATAGCAACCAGCGTCTTCCAGTAGAATGGTTGGAACTTCCGTTTATAGCTTTTACAATTGGTAATTTGCGCTCCGAAAATAGGTTTTAATAGCGTTTTTAATAATTACAGAGTGTTTTTGTGACACACAACTTAGAATTGTTTCTGTTAAAGCCGTTATAATCTGTCAGATGTGGTTCAAGCGTGTCAGAAATACGAGAAAAACGTTTTCCTAGTTCACGTGTCTGCCGTCAGAAATACAGGCCCAATCCCAATTCTATTTTTGTACCCCTACCCCTTTCCCTTAGCCTTTGCAACTGAGGGTTAAGGTGAAGTGCTTCAAAATATACCCCTAAGAATTGGGACAGCACTACATCACCTGCACACACCATCATATGTCCTCACGATCTCTTCTTCAAATGAGTTCAGATGATGGTAATTACTGTAGTGATTCCAGTTGTGTTATCTTTTGGTATTATCTTCAGGAAATCACTGAAGCCATGTGTTATGTTATCATAATGATATAATGTGGCAATAAGATCGTAACAGTACTGTGCATTTACACAGTGGCCATATTCATTAATGTAAACACACCAAAAACAACACTAACATTAGAGCAGACACTGTAAAAAGCCCATTCCCAGCCACTAGACTTTTCGGACAGGGTATTCTGGTGTCATTGAGTGTCAGAATGTTGTGAGACTGCTGTACAGAAGTTATTATTGGGGATTATAGATCATGAATAGGTCTCAAAATTTAGCACACACGCACGCACACACACACACACACACACACACACACACACACACACACACACACACACACACACACACACACAAACACACATACATATACACACACACACAAGCAATACTTCACTGCATTATAGAGCAAACCAGATTAGTGGCATGAAACTTAACAGGTATATAAGTCATGCAATTTACAAAAATGATCAATAATTGTCTGTTATTGATACTCTGATAGTTGGTTTGCTGTTTATTCTAATAGCGAACTGTTTATGTTTCATTTTGTGTGTTGTTTATTTGTGTTTTTCTGTCATTTCGAAATGACTATAGCCTTTATTTTCACTTTGTCACAGTTATTAAATCAGTGTTTCAGTGGGACATACAGGCTATGTGTGTGTTTCAAACATTTTGATGAATTACATTTGTTTGGGCTGATTAGATATTTGAAAGAAAGAGAAACTGTTGACTTCAGCGATGACGAGGCTTCATTTAAATGGAAGAAGATCCCATCTGACAACGAGGGGAAAATGCCTCACAGCAGCTGTTTTCCATCCTATTAGATTGCATTTCTTTAAATAATCAGTCCAGGAGATGGTGCTGATGGACAGCAGTATTAGTTCAAAGATGATAAAAGCAGGTAAAATAGATTAAAACTATCGTTTCAAAGCTGTCCAAATGTGACTGTTTACATGCATCAGCTGCCGACCGGAAGCATTCTCCTTGCGCATACACGCAAATCATAATGGGTAATTTTGCA